CTTGGCCATGTCAGGAGACATTTTTGGTTGTCAAAACCAGGGAGATGGGAGCTACTGACATAGAGTGGGTGGAGAGCAGGGATGCTGCTCAACATCCTACAGCGCAGAGGACAGCCCCTCCACAAGGAACGATCCAGCCCAAATGCTGCCAGTGCTGAGGTGGAGCAACCCCGCGACAGAGCATGACACGGGAAAGTTGGGGGCTGAGAAATAGGACGGAGAGACCTCAGGCCAAGTATCTCTCCACCTTGTTTCTCTGGACAGGCTCCTTCGGTGACCCAATCACTGCAGCCATCACTCCCTGCTTCCTCCGGAAGTGAGAGAATCTTGGAGAACTCTGGATCTGAGAGCTGGAAGTAAGCTCAGGAGATCATCTCCTTCAGACCCGGCACCTAAGGTAGCGCATCTCAAACTTTACACCGCACGTACATCCCCTGGGGATCTTGTTAAAATGCAGATCTGACTCAGCAGCCCTGGGCGGGGATTGGAATTCTGCATTTCTAATCAGCTCTGGTGATGCAGACCCTGCTAGTCCCTAGACACCATTCTGGTTATCAAGCACAAGGAAAGGTCCCTGCTTCACAGATGACGTGCCTGAAGTCCACTAACGGTGATGCACTTCTCCCAGGTCACTCAGCTAGAAATTCTGAAAAGAAATCAAAAAAGAGACTTCTGGACCCTCACACTCCTGTCCCGATGGCAGCACTTCCCATGGGACTGGTCTTTGGAACCCCAGTCCCATGAGGTGGAACTTTCCAATGTATTTAATCACAGAATCTACTCTCTTCCTCGGGCACCTAGCAGCATCCGGCAGAAACACGTATCCTTGAAGCACTGGAAGCGCATCCCCACCGCAGCCAGACCTGCTAGTTCTCCCCCGCTCTTTAACAGCTAGTTGAGCCTCCTGCCCCATGGAGCAACTCAGCACCTGGCAAGCCCCCGGAGAAAGTTCCTCGTTGACCATGTAAACCATCCACAGCCATTCTTGGAAATACTCTGGTCTTTCTGGGGGCAGACTGAAGTTTGAGAAATGCCGGAAAAGGAAACCTGTTCATCAAAAGGAAGCTAGCTCCAATTTCCACTTCAGTTAGTATCAGCTGGAAACAGGTGGAAGCCCTGCGAGTGAGTGTGTGTGAAATGGACATGGAGCCCCATAGAAGGAAGGAATGTTCTACTACCAGCAAGCGTCCTCTGGACTCAACCTGTCAGGGAGCCTGTGGGACAAGAATTTATGTATGTGTTTTCAATTTCTCTGACAGAATCTGTTTGGATTGAGGACGGCTGTTTCATCTTTGAAATATGTGTTCCATAACAAACGCTGGAATCACATAGAAATTGCTCCCTTCATTCTGTGAGCCAAACTCTGACTAAAGGGGTTTAGAAATCCCCACAAGGTGCTCTCCGCTTATTGCTCATTCGCAAAGAAAAAACCATTTCTTTAATGAAATGCAATGTTGAGGAACTGCCAAAAATAGACGCTCCCTATCTGCCTTCACATATGGTAGCTTCTTTCTAGCCAATTAACTCCCAATGAACTGGGGAAGCGATGCAACAACAGGCACGCCAGACTCCCCCGTGCTCACTGGAGTACATTGTCTCCAGAGGACATGGAAGTTTCTGGTCCTGTCTCAACTCATGAAAGCCCAGGAAGAAGCCTGCCTGACCCAGACATTTATTTGCAAGGCCATTTTGGTTAGCTCTAGCTAAGCTCCCAGAATTAAAGCTGATGGTTAGTCCCCTTTCGGACAAATCCTGTTCATTCACTCTCCCCTCTGGTTTTTAGCTACATCATGTTGAAGGGAAATATCCAAGGCCCTCAAAAGCTGGTCTTTCATGAGTTTTACTAACAAGACTTATTTCTACATTAACATCATGCCAGAGAGATTTTCCTCTGTCTGGAAGTGGAGCGGGTATTGGGTTTTACATTGTCTGAAAATAAGCAAGTAACATACAGTCTTGTGTTTCATGAACTCTTGCTCCAAATTTTAAGCTAATCAATAGTTCAGAATCCAGGTGTATTGATACTTTTCTGCTCTGCAAGCCGATACAAAGCTACAGAGAAATGGAATTTCCTACCAAGTAGTTTCTTTTCTAATCATTTTCCCATGAATTTGGAGTCACAGAGAACTTTTTTTGACATCCCTTAAGAGATCTGAGTTTTTGTTTGTTTTGTTTCATTTTGGTTTTTTAGAAAAATGACTGCAGAAGAGCTACAAAAAAAGGCAATTGGTTAGCCCAATCTGTGTTTACTTTTAGGGGTCTTATAATTAAAGTGTAATACGTCCTTTAACAACACAAAATTAAAGTAATTTCCAAATACAGCTACTGGGAGGGCTTCATAACATGAGAAAATGATCATATGTACCATTTGCACGGTCTATTCCATGCTAAATGCTCTACAGTGATTATCTCGTTTAATTCTCACAGCCATGCCACTAGTTATGAGCAACAGCTCACTCTACAGAGATGGGGAAACCCAGGCTCAGAGAGGTTCAATCCCTTTGACAATGTCACACAGCCAAGAGACAATGGAGCTGGAACTCAAGCGCACTCCTATCAGTGTTGAAGTCAACGTGACTCCCTGAAAACTCAATATTGAAATTCTGTTAGACTCTTGGTTCTGTTTGCTCTTAGGATACCATTAGACCACAGAAGTTTCCAGGCATGGCTTTAACACCACTGATATGCCAATGGCTTGTCTGATATGCCAGTGGTTGTCTCTAACCCTAACAATTCCCCTGAACCCTTGACTTGAATGTCCAAGAGATCTCTCCAATGTAGCACTTCCAAAGCAGAGCTCTTCAGCTCATCCAGCCCATCTCAGTAAATGGCAACTTAGTTGTACCATTTTATATCCACTCCACCAGCAAATCTGTTGGCTATACCTTAGAAGTATATGCAGAATTCAAGAACTTCTCTGGGGCAAGCCTCCATCATAACTCACCTATTTGCAATAGCCTCCTAGGCAGATTCTTGGCTCCTAGTCTTGCTGTACAACAGCCAGAATGGTTTGTGTATAACGCAAATCAAATCATGTCATTGCCCTGAACTCCACGTCTTTATCTGGCCTATGGTCTGGCCCTACAAGGCCCTGAAGCAGCTGCTTGTGTCTACGCTCTCCCCAAAAGAAAAACAAAACCAGCTTCCAATACCTCCACTCCCTCCCCAAGCACCACACATCCTGCAGCCACTCACCCCGGAGCAGGCTAGGCCTGTTCCACCTCAGGACATTTGCACTTGTTGTCCCATCTACTGAAGATGATCTTCCCCAAGCTGGCCCCGGAGGCTGGCTTCTTCTCCTAATCAGAGAGGACTCCTCTCACTGCCTCTTCTAGGTCAAAGGTATGTGGCATTCTCTGTGCATTTTTTTTTTCAAATTTTCTGTAAAGTTGAAAATTTCAAAATAAAAAAACTGGTGGGGAAGGACGTGATTCAAACCATTGTGGCTCCCAAATAGATAAAAAAATTTTCCGTTGAAAGAAAGAATAAATCTTAGACCACTGCCGAAGCTGTCCTCCCCAGCATCTATGAACAGGGCAGACATACAGATGGCCTGGGGACAGTGGTCCTACCCTATCCTTGGATATTTATAGCCCCAGTCTGAATTCTTATTTAACTATCGTGCACCAGGCTAAGAAGGGATTTTAAAGCTGTCCAAACTGACGTCACACTCTTGCATGACAATCGTAAGAACGGGTCTTTAACTTTACCAGATACTTCAGCAGTCACCAGAATTGGGTTTCTGGAGGTTCCATTGGATAGAAACAGGCTGTGAAATCAGTATCTCTTCCATTTACAACATGCTTCTTGAGGACTCGGCGCATGTTTTATTTTTAAAAACAGAGTTCAAAAATTTAATTTTTAATAAGGTGCCAACATTTACACAGCATGTTACAATAAAAAAAAAAAAAACAACCCCACATTGCTATGTGGTCGTTCCAACACCAAATGCAAACAAATCTCCTAACAGTCGCACGTAGGCTCATTCCCAGTGTACCTAGGACAGCAAATCAATAGTTATTACCACACCAGTGAAGATGGAGTCTGCTTCATGTTCCCCAAGTTAGATCGCAGGCTCCCCATCATGTACGTCGTTGCCAAGCTTAGAAGCTGAGTCTGATAAAACGATGCCCACGCGAAATTTAAATGTAGGCGCAATATTCCAATTATGTAATTCAATATCCCTCCTCCTTGGGTTTCTCATCTTTTCCAGCTCGGCATCTGATAATGAATACTCAGCAGAATCTGCACATGTTGATAATTGAAAGTAACCAGTTCTCACCTAAGTGAAACAAACTGCTCAAAATCTTTCAGTTTCTGAGACTTATTAGGGCCAAAAATCTATCTATTGACATGTCGTCTCCTTTGTCAGGTCTTTGGGAAGTACTGAATACAAAAATTTGAGATTACCTGGTTCTAAGTAACAGCAGACACTGACTATTGATTTGCTTCTAGCACATTCACCTTTCCCTAAAAGCCACCTGCACATCTGCATTCCCAGGGGAGGCTCTCAAAAACACTTGCAAGAAATTCACATGTCACTTTCAGGATACTCTTTATTTGGTGTCCATCCTTCTACAACACATTTCCTCAGTAATTGAGGGGGGGGAGCAAGAAACAGGTTGATACAGTTTGTCACAGAACTCTTTTTCCATTAGGTATCTATGTTTATTTACATCAAAAACTGATTCAGAAAGAATCCAGAAAGTGCTACAAATGTCTAAAGCCTGGAAAAGAAAACACATTATTCTGAGAAACGTTTATTTGACCTCCACATCCCCGTTCTCCTCATCTTGCTCATCAGCGCACCAGGCAAAGTGGATGAAGTTCTCCATCTGGACACAGCAAATACTTCCAAGAATCCCTACGCATGTACTTTTACGAGAAGGCGTGACAAAGCCCGGCAGCACGTTCCCCAGCGAGTCTGTCTGAGGCCCCGGGCCGGTGGGCGAGTGGACTGCAATGGCTGAGTTAGGGCTCCAAGGGAGGAAGGCAACTGACTCTGGCAGTCCCCACTGCAAACTCCCCCATCTTTGCCCTTAACCTGCCTGTCTGATGCTGGCCTTCTGTTGAGGAGAGCCTGAACCCCATGACAAATTAGAGCTTCAACTTGTGAAGGAAAACAAGGTTAGGTTATTTAAGTCAAGTAACACTCCCAACTGTTTCCCGTGATGTCACAGACATCTCTACGCTAAGCATTGGGGAGAAGGACACAACTCCCCTTGGTGACCTTGGCCCAGAGTAAACTGTCACCTCATCCCTCCACAGCCTCAGCTGGAGGCGGAGACAATTCTGTGGTTTCAGTGACCTTTGGCTGTCCGCTCACTGTTTGTGTTCCCTTCTGAAGCTCCTTGTTTCAGCTAAAAGGGCGTCCTGGATTATATAAATCCAGGGTATGACTAATACTCTTTTGGGAGGCCTCGTAGGAGTAAGATGGGAACTACATGAAGCAATCTTGAAGACTTTTTAGAATTTAAAGTCCAGGAGAATCCAGCTTCACTTGCACATGTTCCATGGAAACCCCAATAACAATAATATTAGGATCTGTTACTCAATACTTACGCGCTGCAAATGAGAACAAACTTCATTCTATTATAGGATCAAATATTACATTCTTTCCCATTGACTGCTATTTCCACACTGCGGTGGCTTCTTTGATATTATTTTGGAGGGGGCCAATTACAGAAACAAATTCTCCATAGTTTGTCAGCATGATCTGACAAACTTTTTTAACCCAGAGAATACTTCAGTATATTTTCTTACATCAACTAGAAGTTTCATAGAAACCCGCTTGTAGCTAGGTTTTTATCCAAAGTGAACATTTTTCTTATGGCTAAGAAATGACAGGTTCTGATTAGGAGTTCTATATCAAATCTGAGAGAAGGACTGAGGGGCTATAAGCTTAGAAGAGAATGTTCAGAGGGGTTTGGCAAGAGAGAGAGAGTAAAGAAGATAGGAAGGACAATGACAGAGACACAGTGATGGCATCCAATACAGCAGACAATATTCCCTTCCCAAAGACCAATTCCCCTTCCTCATTAAGAGAATCTAAATTTCGCTCAGAGTAATATGCATAGCTAAAAATCTTCCTTTCCAGGCTCACGTGCAGCGGGGGGGGGCGGAGAAGGGGTGCCATGTGACCGAATTCTAGCCAATGGACGTAAGCTGAGCATCTCTGGGAAAGCTTTGCTGTCCTGATGTAGATACTGCTCCTTGTCACTTGCCTCTTCCTCCCTCTTTTTGCTTAGAAGGCAGACATGATACCTAGCAGTTCAGTAACCATCTTGTGACTATGAGGCAATAAGCCAAAGGACAAAGGGCAAGGATGGTGGGAAAAACACCAGAAGAGTGCGGATCCTTGAGGACAGTCCTGAGTGCCTGCCCCCGGGTTTCTTATTCACCTCTTCACTGTGTCGAGTTTTCTATTATTTGCAGCCAAATGCACACCTGATACATCAATATCCAACAATGAGATTGAAAAGGATGAGGACAACTCAGTGGAAAGGGAAGAACAAAGACTAAAGTGAAGGGCAAGGGGGATGAATCTTTCAGAGATCATACAGCGGACCTGAAAAACACAGCTGAATTCCTTCCCGCGGAAAAACCAGAAGTCCTGACTAAAAGAATAAATGTAACATTAAGTCCAACACAAAGATGCCCAATGCTCAAATTGGCTGTCTACGATTTAACTCTGTCCTTCTGTGCTTTGATTGCTAGTATGAAAGTGCATGCTCATACATTAAAGCTGGACGCTTTGCACCCTACAGAGAAGAGAATGGAAGAGATTTAGAATCAATTTCGTATTTCTCTTGCAATCCATTTGGAGGAGTTCCCACTGAGAACTCGTACACCTCACCCTTCTGGCAGCAGTATTTAATAAGATCTGAGCAGGAAAATAAGTAGTAACACTGAGTAGCCTGTGTTGACTCTTGCATACGCTATTTGGAAATTAAAGCACATTTACAGCAAGCTGGCAGCATACAGAATATGGCCCATGGAAAGTGCTGGACTGATCAATATTTAAGAATGCACAGGCAACAGCAATAAATAAGTAAAGCAAATGCAATGGGGATGCAAATCAATGATTGAGTGTGTATACCCTCAAAATAAGGATGAATCCCTTTTATGGGAGGAAATATAGTGCAGCACTAAACGCTCCAATAGTTCGTCGTGCAGTCCCAAGATGCTGGTCTTGCATAGAGAAATGATTTCTTCATACTCATCATAGCAGGAGACCCTGATGTTGGCTCAGAGACTGACAATAAGCAAAATAACAGGCTGAGAACAGGAGCAAGAAATGGGATGGTCACGAGTGAACCCACCGACATACTTGCAGCTTTCACTATGCTCATATTTAATTTCTTTTTCTTTTCCAACGAAGTAAGTGCAAATATCTTTAGTCTGATTCAGTAACATAGCAGCAAAACTTCAGGAACCAATAAATAAGGACGCTGACATACCAACACCCCTTTGCCTTTGGGACTCAAAGCTTCACAGGCATCAGCCTCAAGCAGAAGGGGCAAACGTTTCTTGACTCAGCCTGTGTGTTCCATGTCCTTGTACAAACCACATGGTTTACCCCCACCCCCATTCCCCCATAGCAGTTAGTAAACTCATTAAGAAACACAGCTTGAAACTCATAAGGGGTTAAAGCTATAAAATACCTACTCATTGATATATTTTTTTTAAAAAAAAAAAAGGTTTCATTCTTCTTCCCTTCCTTTCAAACAAAGCTTTTGTTTCCGCTGCCCTCAGCGCATGATCGTTCATTAGGATAACATATCATTTGTTTATTTCTTTTAAAATGACACAGTTGTTGTGTTTTTCTCAAAATAATTGCCACCTCGTTTCTAATTAAACATGATGGATTCAGGGTCCTGGTTTGCCATCTGGGCCATATGTCTCAGAACATCCTTTTTCGTGATGATGCCAAGAAGTCTCCTGGAAAAGAAACAAAATGGAGAAAGGAGGTCAACCGTGCAATACCGACCCATGCTTGTCCCTAAAGCCCAGTGCTTTCTCCACCTGGGCACACAGAGACATTTCCCAGCCTCCCCTGCGGTTGGGTGGGGCAACTGAGTGAGCTCTGGCTGGTGGCGTGTGGGTGGAGGTGACAGATGCCCCTCTCAGGTCACCTGCATTTCCTCACACTCTCTCATCTGCCAGCCAGAGGCAGGGTAGCCAGTGACGGACTCCAAGGTCACAGAGGACTGACGTAGAGGCCACCAGATTCAAAGACCTGGGTCCTTGAATGACTGTGTGGTGCAGAGCCTACGCCTGCTGCCACACACACACTGGAAGTGACAGGGGAGAAAAATCAACCTTCATTGTGTTAGGCCACTGAGACTGCAAGCTTGTTTATTATGGCAGTAAACCTACGATGACTAATACACTCTCCTAAATCTCAAGACTGTAATCAATTAAGAAAGGGCTTATGAAAGCCATTGTCAAAACTCGACCACACCACACAAATTCCAAGTATAAGGTATCTTAAGTATAACAATTGATTCTATTTTAAATCTACCTTAATGGAAGGGTAAAGTTTGACATTTATCTTTGACCATACATGTAAATTACCTCCTCTTCCAAAATTCCATTGCATTCAACTTACAAAACCACCACCACTTATCAGGGTCCCTTATATAGGGCCACCTAGACAATACACTGCACAACTCCAGGGAGCACTGTTCACAAACACTGCAATGTAAACAGTGCCCCCGGGATTATGCAAGTGTAAACACTTGCACAACCAGCTACGGCAGCCGCTGCCTCACTCTTGATTTTATTAAATATTTAAATGACCACCGGCTGGAACAAATCATTTCCCTTAGGCAGAGTGAAAGATTTGAAAGAAGGGGATGTACACAACTTCTTTGGAGAAAAGAAGTTCCATTGCCAAATTAGTTTGCAAAATGCTGCTCACCGTATCTCCATCATACCCAACAAGAGGGGAATGGAGAAGTAAAGAACTGTGGCAGTCTCACACCAGAATACTGGATTGCTATCAAAATGGCAGCTTTCTACTCTGTATCTATGTGAAATGATGATATACCAAAAAATCAGAAAACACAATTGTAATACAGTGTCATTTATTTTAATTAAAGCCAAATTAGTCAAACTCATCTCTTACTAATAGAAAGTGGATATGAAGAGGGAATGCAAGTATTCAGAGCAGTATTCAAATCAGTTATACCTGGTGAAATGGACACTGGCTAGTGAAACTATCAGGCCAGAATTCTGACTTCCCTGCCCCTGACCACACTGGACCTTACACAATCTTGGAAAGGTAATTGTTTCTTGTGCTAGTTTCCCCATTTATCACACTGGGGGAGACAGCAGGCACTACTTCTTCCCCTCCATCTCATCGGAACATCTCAGGAGAGAGGAAAATCGCAAAAGGGGCCTTTAAAATCATGCTAAACAAAAAGAATAATGACGATATGGATGACAAAACACTGAAAGAAAGAGTCATGACTCCATCATGATAATCAAAAAAAAATGGGGAAAAATGTAGAAAGCAGGATAGAATTAGAAAATCAACATGCAACTCCTAATATAATAATCAGTTTAGTCAATAATTATCAATGGATTCCAAAACCACTGGGTAAACGGTTGCTGGAAAACAGAAAATCCACATGATCTCAAAGGATCCCTCCACAGATTACGCACAAAGAGAAAAATGTCCCTTTACAATGGAGGCCTCTGGCCATCACCACCTCATCCAAGTGATGGAGCTTATCACCAATAAGGATGGAAAAGCTGACATGATGACATCGTCTATGTTGGAATGTTGCCAAAAACTACTTAAACCAAATCAGACCATGAGGAAGCAATCAAGCATTCAGAATGTGAGACTACTGGTCTGAACTCTTCAAAAAAAAATCTGTCATAACTAACAAACAAAAAAAGGCAAGGAGCTGTTCTAGACAAAAGACTAAAGAGGCAAAACAACCAAACTCAATGTGTAAACCCTGAAGGAACTCTGGATTGAAATTTGATATGAACTGGATATTGAATGATACATTGAGTTGTTAATTTTGTGTAATTACGGTTTAGGGGTTATGTAAAAGAACGTCCTTACTCTTAGAAGATGTATGCTTCATTCATAATTGCCAAAAACTGTAAGAAACCAAGATGCCCTTCAGTAGGTGAACGGATAAACTATGGTGCATCCGGACAATTCAGCACTAAGGAAATGAGCCATCAAGCCAGGAAAAGACATAGAGGAACCTGAAATGCATATTACTAAGTGAAAGAAGCCAATCTGAGAAGGCTATTTTCCGTGTGATGCCAACTCTATGACATTCTGGACAAGGCAAAACCATGGAGACAATAGACAGCTCGGTGGTTGCCAGAGATCAGAGAGGAGGGAGGGATGAATAGGCAGAGCACAGAGGATTCTTAGGGAAGTGAAACTATTCTGCAGGATACTGTAATGGTGGACACATGTCCTTCTCTATTTGTCAAAACCCATAGGATGTACAACACCAAGGGTGAACCCTAATGTAAACTAGGGACCTTAGTGAATAATAATACATTGATATTGGTTCATCAATGGCAACAAATATAACACACAAAGGCAAGATGTTAACAATAAGGGAAACTGTGAGGGGACAAGAGAGGGTAGATGGGAACTCTCTGTACTTTCTGCTCAATTTTGCTGTAAACCTAAAACTGCTCTAAAAAATAAAGTCTATTCATTAAAGAAAACAAAACCCTTTGGGGGACGGGGGGAGTGGTTGCCTGAAGGGAGAGGGGTGGTGGTGAAGAAGGATAAAGCCAGGAATTGTTTTTTGTTCTACGTGTTTAGAGCTACTTGACTTTAACCATGTTCATATATTACTTTAAATACATTTCTAAAATTTATCAAAATGCAATAAAACGAAGATGCCCCATAAAACAAGATGCTATTATAGTAAATTTGCCAAGCTGAGTCTGAGTCCTGACTTAGTCAGCTCGGGCTGCCGTAACAAAGCCCCACAGACTGGGTGGCTTATCAACAAACATCAGTCCGTTCTCAGAGTTCTGGAGACTGGTGGACCAAGATCAAGGTGCTGGCAGGGTTAGTTTCTCCAGAGGCCACTCTCTTGGTTTGCAGGCAGCCACCTCTTTACTGTGTCCTCACAGGGCCTTTTTCTCTGTGCAAGCTGCCCCGGTGTCTCTTCCTCTTCTTATAAGGACACCAGTCCTATCAGATTAGGGCCCACCCTTATGACCTCATTTAACTTTAATTATCTCCTTAAAGACCCTATCCCCAAATACAGTCACATTGGGGGTTAGGGCTTCAACATGTGAATTTGTAGGGGACACAATTCAGTCCATAACAGTCCTTCAACTCCCTTTAAAATCAAAAAGGAATGGTTATAAGGCAAGCAGCTTATACCTATAATGTGCCACTAAGAAAGCTGTGCTCACTAGAGAAAAGGAGCAGGTGTGAGCAGTTCAGGCCACAAAGGTGTGTTTGTACGCGCTGGGAAGCAGCTCCGATGCTGGCGATCGCCAACTAGTGGACAGTCCCCCAAATTAAACCGCTCTTTTGTCCTCTTGGACATTTATTTTCTACTTGAAAGCCTCAATCAGGACATTACCCTCTAGAACACCTGGATGACACCACTTAAATCGGATTATGCCCACGTTCCTTAGTAGATGACAAGCTCCTCGGCTTTTCCAGTTTTTAAAACACTTTTTGAGCCTTCTCCAGTTCTCAAATAGATGATCAGTAAGATGTTGATTAAGCCAATGTTGCTTTCAAAAAACTATGACTTGTTAGTGTTTGCAAAGTCATGAGAACTCTACTATAACACACACACACACACACACACACACACACCCCACCCCCATATCTCCAAGCCTGGTTTTTGTTTCCTTATCTTCACCCTGGAGACAGTATCAAAAGATCAGGCATTTGCCTAAAACAGTCTTGACAACCTCCTCTTAAAGCCGTATAACTACAATGTCTGAAAGTCAAGCTGGTCACAATGGTTCTGGGGAAATATGAATTCAGCAGCTGCCTTGAGTTTGGGCATAAATTGTGCCCTGCCTGCAACAATAATTACTGCAAAAGAAGAAAGCTGCACATCCACCCAGGAGGAGGCCACATCAAATCCAGCAGGGTTCCTCAGTGGCGTGAAACGTCCTCTGTGATTTAAAGCAAGCATTTGAGCTTCCAGCCCCTTGGGGTAGCAGGTATCATTCTGGTGAATGATAAACGGCTGATCTATGACCACGAACATAATTCAGATTAGAGCAACTGGGCTCTTCTGAGAAGACCACCCCGTCCAAGCCCCTGTGGCCCACCTAGCAGGGCTTGGGGAAAGCTGTCACCATCTCCCCTGCTCACTTTTCCTTTCCAGAGCCTCTACGGGACAAATCCCACCCAAATTCGCTTTTAGCCACTGGAGGCTTCCTAGACTCCAGCATTATGGGGACAATGACTTCTCTGGTTCCTGGTCTGGTTTCACGATTACCTTGGACCCCAGGCCCTGAGAAATCCTGCAGACGATGCAGGTCAACAGGACGAGCTGGGGCTCTCAGCCCCGGGCAGGGAAGGCACATGGCGACCGACGGAATACATCAAACACGCAAGCTGACTTGAGACGTGCCTGCTCTGGCTGAAAGCCTGAGGAGATGAAAGGCCCTCAGACAAGGATCCCTTGCCAGCACTAACGTATCAGCATCTGTGTTTGTTTAAAATATGTAGAGCGAGAGAGAGAGTGCGATTTTGTTTTCTCCCAGAACATTCGGAGCCAATTTCGGCACCCAGATCTTCACAGGAAAACCTCATGGGGCTCCGTGAGGTGTGAGCGGGCATTAAGGGCAGAATTTCCTGCCAGAACTGGAAATTCCAATGATAACTGACATTGGATTATTGTTTTAAAGGAAAAGAGAAACTGCTATCCACTTGAGACGACATGGCGATCACAGTGGTATTTATGTCGAGTGCTGGAAATTCAAGTACCTAAATGGGCTTCAGCGTTTTGCAAAGCCGAGTCCCCCGACCAGCAGCAGCACCTGGGAGATGGTTAGAAATGTACATTCTCAGGCCCCTCCCAGACCTGAGGGCTCAGGAACTGCGGTAGGGTCCGCCCTCCAGGTATAACCCAGAGGTTTAATCCTCTGGGGGATTCTGACGCACACTCAAGTTTGAGAACCACCAAGTTCCTTTAAAAATCACCGGCAGAAATGATCTCTAGGCCTCAAACATTTATTTGTTCCTTATTCATTGCCCCTCCCATGTGCACGACACCTCCCTAGCTGCAGTCAGAGCTAAGGAGGACACTTGTCCTATCAGCTAGTTCTCTGAGTCAATATGCGAATTCAGCCCCTTGCAAGAGCCCTGTTCCAGTGTTATCAGGACAGTAGGGACAAAGCCGAGTGATTAAGGATTGCCCACTTGGCTATTCACGGGCATCCAGTCCAGGGTCGGCTCAGGGGCAGCACTAGTGATACTGTGGGCCGGATGATTCTTTGTTGCAATGGGGGCCGTCCTGTGCATTGTAGGGTGTTGAACAGCATCCCTGGCCTCTACCCACTAGATGCCTACTAGTAGCACTCCCTCCCTCCAGTTGTGACACCCAAAATCTCTGGGGGGCAAAACCACCCTGGTCAAGAACTACTAGGCTAAACTGGAGTGCGCTGGCTCTGGAAACGTAAACTATGTTAGAGAGTTAAGCCCCTGGATTCTCTAAAGGCCTAAACTATATTTAGGGTACCATAACCCATACCCCACCTCCTACCCCCAGCCTATAAAGGAATAAACTGGGCAGACAAACCTAGGTTCCAGGCTACCCTGACTGAGCCAATCTCTCCCTCCACCCAAGATTCTGAGGCTGTAGAATTTGGGGGGCACCTCTGAGCCCCAAGAATGGCCCTCCGAACACTGCACGTCTCACACCATCGTGAACCTTTGCTCTTTGGAGGGCTGGTTTCCTGGTTTGTGATAACACAAAGCAAAAGTAATACTGCTGTGGCAGAGACAATGCCATGGGGCCACCAAATCTCTCAGCTCTTCGATAATGTTTGTTTTGAAAACGTCAAGTTATTTCGAACAGATTGATATACTAGGAAACAATCTGAGCATAATGTGAACTTCACATTTGCTTACAGGTGATTTCATCCACGAGAAACCCCAGGTGAATGCAGAAAGCTGCACGCAGCTGAATCAGGGGCACATGCATATACCCAAAATGCTCACAAGCTGCAGCCCTTACGACACCCACTGCCACAAGCCAACTTCAGGGCTTTTTCAAGATGAAGTGACATATTTATTGTCAAATTGATATATTTCTTAACCACTGAACATGTATAAAATGGTACAACCGTTTTTATTAGATTCCTATCTCTTGTTTTAATGTGTCACTGATGAAGTTTTTGAGTGTTGTGTGCCTAACCCTGTTTTTCTTATAAGCCCTGTGATTTTCTTTGCTCATTTTTGCATAGCGTTGTGATTTTGAAGAATGCATATGTCACGTTATAGCAGAGCAGGCTGCACGCTCTCCCTGAGCCAAGTACCACCTGGGTGGCAGAAAAGCAGCCCGAAGCACTTCTCCTTTGGCTCCTCCCCTTTTGACTCAAACTTCAGCCCTCGGGCCAGACAGCAGCCCCACCTGGAAGCATCTCCACTTTCTCAGGCTGCACTGGCCGCTCCTGCGCTCAGTTCCCAAAGCTCCCGGTCATTTCCTTCTCAGGTCATTTCCTTCTCAGTGCGCTCGCCACAGCTTCTGACACCCCCCTACCAAGTACTGGTCCACCCCAGCCGACCGCGAGTCCCCGAAGGACTGAGACTGTGTCTCGTTCATCTTGTTCTCCCAGAGTCTGGTCACAGTACACATCCCATCAACGCCTGTGCAGCCACTCACCCACTCCGCGTCACCAGGCACTGCCGCAGCCCCAGTTTCCGGAAGATGTCCACCACCGTCTCCATGGGGGTGTGGTCCGTGACCGTGAAAGGGCTGAGGTTTAGGACGCGCCGCAGCTTCAGGGGGTGTGGGCTGTTGGCCGGCAGCTCAGGGGGCTCCTCCGTGAAGTACATGATGGAATTGCTCACGATGCCCTCCTGCCTCTGTCTGGCGTTCTCTAGGATAAGGGAGCAGGAACAATAAGCCACACAAAAATCCCTTGCTTAGCAACTCCCACGACCCCATACCCTCAGGAACACACATCTTCCCTTCACCCGCATCCTAGCATCCCACAGAAAAGGGGTTCAGAGGGCAAACTCCACATTCCTAATGAGGGGCTTCAACCAAACATCTGTGAAACTGGCATCTCTCTTAAGCTAATGCCGTGCACGAGTCCCCCTGCTGTGACCCGATCCTTCATTGCCAAAGTCTTGAGAGGCGGGCCTGAGCAGATGGCTCCTTGGGGGAAACGCACTGCTTCCCCTTGGATTGCAGGGCACCCAGAGGCCCAGAGCCTTCCGCCCTTCCTTTCCTAACACGCCTTTAGCTCCTCATCGGCTGACGTATGACACGACAAGAAACTTCACTTAGCTGCCCAATGACCTTAACACACTGTTTTCTTTGTTTTTGTTTTTGTTTTTTTTTTTACAAACTTATAACAGGCCCAAATGGCATTACGAATCCTGAAAGGACCCAATAGGGTCATCCCAGGCTCACAGCCCAGAAATGAAGCTCAATCCCAAATAAGACCCTTGGGACGAAAGAAATAACCTAGAAAAGCCACATCCCCCACCCCTTGGCTCTCCTCTCTTAAAACTGGGCCATTTTGTAGATTTCTCAAAGAAAGATAGTAAAACTGTTATGGTAACAATTAGTCTATTTCTATCTGTAGGCAAGGCCATGTGAAAGAAAGCTGAAGAAAAGAAGGCTAACAGGAACTCATTAGAAATAGAGCTTTATGCAGGACTAGAAACCCAGGCTATTTTAAGTCACACATGAAATAAATCCATCGGTCTCAAGATATTTCTCCAAGGCGATTTTCCTTCTGTTGGAATTTTAATCTTTCTTTTGGTTCATGGGAAAAGGTTAGGAAAAATGTACAGCGAGGCTTGCCTTAAAACGGATCCTGGTTTCTATAATACATTTCTTGCCTTCTCAAAGACTACTATTCACCTATATTGTTCTTTGAAAAATAAAATTCTAACTGCCTGCTCTGAGGCCATTTACTGCAATAGAGTACTCTAATGGAAAACCGGGCGCATTCGGGGTCGGGCTGAGTTTGAAAAAAGGCCTCTGTTTAAAAGAGGAGCAGAGGGCCTGCTGGGCAAATGCCTGCATATTATGTGGGTCAGGTTAAACCTAGTTACATCAAAAGGGATATGATTCAACCACAAATACCAGATGACAATGATGCACGTTTTCAAATGTAGACGCTACACGATACACACTGCACGCTTCTCTCCTAAACCAAGATGGTTCCATCACGAAGCACTAAGGCGGGGAGGCAACGGTCAACACATACTTATCTGCTCATTTTCATAGACCAATGGATTCTCCAGAAGTCCGATGTAACAGGAATCCCATCTATTTCGACAATCAAGTTGAATGTCAGGATTGGATTAAGCCACAAACCTCAATCAAGAACTGATCACATGGATTTGCTGAACCCCTCATAAAACCAAATACAACTTAGTAAACCGTCAATCAACTTGTTGAAATAAACAACAAGCTTATACTGCCTCCGAATCTACTGACTGGGTTAGAAGGCCTGATTCTAACAACAGCTAGTTCAGTGACTTCTTGCTCACCAGTGAATCCCCAGTACCTGGACAATGCCTAGTATGCGGTAGACTCAAAGCAGATATTTGCCACACGCCTGCATGAATCAATCAATCACAGTGAATGAATGGGAGAGTAGGTGTACTAAATGTCAGCGTATCTGGTTCTGCCTGCCATGTAGAACAGAGCCCACTTCACGCAGGAGGCATTAGGAAGGAGAGCCCATGAGCTATTCACTGCCGAACAAGAATTGAAAGCATCAGCTGGGGTCCGAGCCGCAGATCTGAGCTGTGCTCCTCGCAACTCCAAGAGTGGCAACTGCTGCTCTCGCCAGAAGGGCTCTGCTAGGCCACTCTGGAACTCCACTATAAAGACTTATCTTAAAGCTTCGAACTTTGGGGGTGGAGGTGCTATGTACAGGCCAAAAGCCGGTGAATGGAAGAAGAACCAGCAAGAAGGCTCTTTGCATTTCTCTACTAGGGTGAACCATCTGCTCCGAGTTTGGACAAGAAATCATCAGTCACCAAAATGCCTGCAATAAACTATACCATGTAAGTAGCAACCGGCTACTGTCATGCCTGTACTCCCAGCTCCTAGGAGAGTCCCGGCACATGGTGGATGCACCAGAAATATTTGCTGTATGAAAGGATAACCAACTCCTCACCAGGGGATGATCCAGTGCTACGAGAGTATAGACCCCCAGACCCCAGGGACTCGTGGGAGCCTGTGTTAGAAAAGAAACCAAAAAAAAAAAAAAGCTCAATGTTTACATGTGTAAAAGACCTAGAAGACAAGAATGAAATGCACCAAATATTAACCATGGCCTTCAATCATATTGAGAATGTGAGTGCCTTTTTTATTTTCTCTTTTGCTTCTGATTTCCCCAATATTCTATGAGTATGTATTACTTTTACTTTAAAAAATAAACTTTGTTTTTAAATGCTTTAAAGATCAAGTAGTTAAACTGGTTTTAAAACTGTCTTTAATGGAGGAGGCTTGTTGTATATTCTACCAGAACTGGTATCAGTGGCTGCAGCTTCTGAAAAATGATGCACATTTTATGGGTACCTGCTAAGGTTATTCAACTTGACATTCCACTATCTAACAGCAATACGATCATAACGCCAGGTGCAGAGAGCCTAATTAAGAAAGTGTTGGTAAAGTGAATTTCACAAACTATGATAGGCCAAGAAATTTAAAAGACCAGAAATAATCACAAATCTAGTAAGCTATCACAATGGCTTTAGAGCAATGGTTCTCAATTGGGAGCAATTTTGCCCGCACCCTCACCGGACATTTGGCAATATCTGAAGACATTTTTGGTTGTCATAACTGGGGGATGGGGTTGCTACTGGCACCTACTAGGTAGAGAGCAGGGATGCTTCCAAACATCCTACAGGGCACAGGACAGCCCCCCTCAACAAAGAATGATCCAACTCCAATGTCAATAGTATTAAGGTTGAGAAAGTCTACTTTAGAGTAATTATGTTTTTACAGAGGTAATACTCTATCATTCGGTTCCTTAAAAATGCTTCCATAGGGCCGGCCCTGTGGCTTGGCGGTTGAGTGCGCCCGCTCCGCTGCTGGCGGCCCGGGTTCAGATCCCGGGCGCGCACCACTTCTCCGGCCATGCTGAGGCCACGTCCCACGTGCAGCAACTGGAAGGATGTGCAGCTATGACATACAACTATCTACTGGGGCTTTGGGGGGAAAATAAATAAATAAATAAAATCTTAAAAAAAAAATGCTTCCATAAAACAGATGTAATTAACAAGAAAGGTTAAAATGGAAAATTGGAAGCAACTATAGTGGTGGTTAGTACAGAGATGATGTGATAAAAAAAGTAAAAAATATTTAGAAGAAAAAGCAGATTATTTTATGACAAGTTATAGTTTACTAAGGCATGGAGAAGTCCCTCTATATGTGTTTTAATGCCCAGCAGAAAGAAGCAGATGACACCACTGTTCTCCATGGCCTAGCAATAATTAACAGCCCTCCCAGGAAGAAACCGCTTTATCCCTAAATAGCCCGTCCAACAGATCTGACACTTCTTGTTCAGTCCTGGACGTAGATCCTTTTCTGCAAGTAAGCATCTTCCACATGCTGGAGAATCATCATTAAATCCACCAGACGAAAAAAGGAGAGTTCCCTTAACTCTTGCCCATGACGCTAAGTTTCCATCCCTTTAATCATCTTTGCGGCTTCCCACTGAGTCTCTCTGAACCCGTCCTCACCTAATTGCAGAACTCAAGACTAGAAGAGCCTGAGCCCTGCTGAGCACAGAAAGAGCCTCATATTTGCAAATAGCACCAAGAGGGAAAGTTCCATTTACCAGGAATTTGAACAAGGGTCACAAATGGCCCCATGTGTTAGTATGTGATGGTGAAGAAGGCCACGTTTCCTAGGTGGTTATAACGAATCACTAACAAAAACAACAGCTATGGTTTGGCATTCCAGAGATGGATTGAAAATAACAAAACATTTATAGCTTCACGTGAGCAGTTGCTACAATTTTAAATATGATGTATAAGAAAAATCCTTATTTGCCTCATTACCATTCTTTTCTTATGCAAACTATCTATCTATAATCTTTGTTCCTAATTCCCCTGAAGGCTGAACTGGCATGGGATGGTTACTAGCTCAATGCTAATGTCATATTTCTACATTCACGAAAGGGCATATGACTCCGCAAATACAGGTCATGAATTTCTCCACCAGAGTACAGGGACTCTTCCATTTCCACAGGTCAGGAAAACAGCTTTTCTGATTGCTCAGAGCAAAACACTCTTTGTCTTTCCACAAACCATGTAAATAGCAGCTTCTATACTATTATCGGTCTGATTGAAAGCATATAGGTATTATTTACACGGCGTGTTGCCTCTTCAGACTTCCAAACATAGCTTCTAGGAGAGCGCTCGCTGGCAAGCTTACATTTCTTCTCTAACCGGTTGATGACAATTACTGCTTCCCACTTGATTACAGTAATGGGTTTCAGCAAAATTAGTAAGCTGCCTCTTAGCAGGTGTGCCTGGAGCGACACAATAGGTAATGGGTTCCGTGACATTTATTACTTTAGTTTTTAAATTTCAACCTTTGCTTAAAAGATTTTAGGGATTGAATAAAGTTTTTAAAGGCTGCTGATTAAATGATTTTAAAACAAACCCAACCCTACTTATACAGCTTTAAAAAAATCTCATAATTTATAAGGCAATATTTATGCCTAAAGGCACCTACCTGTTAAGCGACAAGACCTATAACAAAGAGAAGCATCACTGAGCACTGAGGTACAAATGTGCTATTGTGTCTAAAACACAAAATCAATTGTTGTTTGGGGGAGGGAAATATGTTTGAGCAACAGGCTAAAATTAGAGGATATAGCTTATCTAAACTTATTTTTATAAAGCCTTTGATGAAAATACTTCAAAGATATTTTAAAAGCTATTTAATATCGCGAAGAGGTTTTAGAAATTCAAGGGGAGAGCGTTAGAAAGAGCTAACGGAGGCCAGGGACAAGCAAAGGACTGTCTGGTGAAGGTGTGCTCCCAGTGGGGCATTCTGCAATCATACCCGGGCCGAGTCCAACTGGCAAACTGCATACTCGGGAAGAAGGCACATATAGGAAAATCGTCAAGTACACACAGGAGCCGTGTCATGGCCCCGCCTACCGTGAGATGCTGGGATGGTGTGCAGATCACAAGAGCAGGGTGCTGAGCGGGATGGCATGCGTGTTTGCCATGCATGTGGATGCGCTCTGCTGGTCCCTGCCCCAGCTGCATCAGGAGGTCTACTGGGACTCCACCCAGAGGAAGCCCTCTGAGGCTCACTGCTCCTCCTTGCCTGGGCCTCCAACGACTCACACCCAGACCCTTGCCTTTGGGATCCTACCTCCTGCTCCCCTTCCAATGCAGTCCTCCCTAAGCTGACGGGGCCTGCAGGCTTGCTTCTGTGAGCTGCTTGTCTTTGGGACAGCCCACCTGGGCATCATCCCCTCTCTCCTCTCCCAACTCAACAGCCTGCCCCTCGGCCCAGCTGATTTCAGTTAGCACATGAAGAGGAGAAGCATCACACGGGACTGACCTGACATCTGCTCGTTAACCCACGTGGGCCTCTAACTGGTGGAATGGAAGATAATGTCATAAAGGGAAGTGAAAGGCTTCTGCGGAACCCAGGGAGGCATCTGAGGCAGAGAATTCACAGCCTAAGACGGTAAGCCTGCCTGACAGTCTGTCGCTGAGACTGCTCAGCCCAGGCCAGTCCAGGCCCTCCCATCTCTTCCTTCTCAGCTTCACTCAACAACTCCCTAAAAGGCAGCAGCGGCAGCAGCTTGCCTCCTAGTGGAAGTGGGGCCCAGGTGGCTGCGTGCAAACTGGCGGTCATTTTCCAGCCAAGAATGCCTCTCCCAAGACATTGCTCCTCACAGTCTGACTTGGGGACCAGCAGCATCAGCATTAATGGGGAGCTTGGGAGAAATGCAGAGTCTTGGGTCCCCCAGACCTACTGAATCACAATCTGCATTTTAACTAGATCCTCAGGTGACATGAATACACATTAATAAGTGTGAGAGCCCCTGGCTTAATGCCCTCCGACCTTTGCACATTCTCTCTAACGTCTTTGAGAATTTGGGGGGTACAAAGGCTGCCATGCGTCTCTAAGTAAAACGTGAGCTTCCCTCTCTTTACTTACTTATTGCTAGAATCAGTTCCCTCCTCTGGGCAAACCCAATGAGGCGCTCGGAGTCCCTGGAGACCACCACGGGGAAGCCGTTGTAGTCGGTCTCCTTGATGAGCGTCTCCACGTCCTCGACGGTCATGCTGTCCTGGGTGAGCACGGACAGCGGTGGCTCTCCCCGCCGCGGCCGCATGACGTCAGTGGCCAGTGTGCGGTGGGTGAACTCATCCTTCACGTCCAGAAATGGGTACCCGTTTAAGTGGATGTGGGCCTCGTAGATGCCTTCCTTCCCAAAGGCATCAGCCACCCACTTGCTGGTCACAGCTGCTGCCATCAGGGGCACAATGTACTCCAGACCACCAGTTAATTCAAACATGATGACCACCAATGACACCGTCATCCTGGTAACTCCACCTGCCACCAAAGAGAGGAATGAAATTCCAAAACTCAACTCCAGACTCTCAAGAGGGCATGAACTGTGGAAATTGACAATCTGGCTATAAATTCTCCTGACACCTGTTCTAAGGAGACAGTCCTACCTGCTGCCCATGCTCGGACCTCTGGGACAGGGACCAGGCTCTGTTCAACGCAGCCTTGCCTCAGGGAGCCATAAGTCACATCTGACTGGGGGGCTCTTCCCCAGCAAGGGACAATTGGGCTGTCTATTCACCCAGACCACACGCCCTGCTTTTTGGGGAGTGGATCCGATGTGGACTATGCAGGTTTCTGACTCAGCAAGTAAGGCTGTCTTCCAGAACCCCATAAGCTGGAAAACCGTAGAGATTCTTAGGGGCTACAGACAGGAGAGGGCCCACCCTTGCATCTCTTGATGTTCAAAGGGAGGATCCATACCAACTCCTAATCTTCCAATGAGCCAGGGTTTCTCAACCTCAGCACCAGGAACATTTGGGGCTGGATCATTCGTTGCTGTGGGGGCTGTTCTGTGCACTACAGGATGTTCAGCAGCATTCCTGGCCCCCACCCACGAGATGCTAGTAGCACCCCCGAGGTGTGACTTCCTAAGATGTCTCCTTCATTGCCCAGTGTCCCAGTTAAAAACCACTGTTCTAGATGGTACAACTGCAAGATGGTGGAGACTCCATCAGCCCAGGTTCCTGAATGACTGAGTGGAGAAAAGCCCTCTGCTAACTCACATTATACACACACACAGTTGATTCTCATTATCCACGGTAGTTATGATCTATAAAGTCGCCACAAACACTGAATTAGGAAATACTGAATCACTGCCCTAGGACAAATAAAAGGTTAGGTTTCTGCAAGCCTCTGGTCACAACATTTTTGTCAACCAATCATTGCGAAAGCTTATTTTATGTGTGTTTCTGTTTAAAGACACTGTATTTCATATAATATATATATAGTTGATTCATTAACATTGAACTCACAGCCAACAGTACTATAACTCATGTCTGAGAATGACTGTGAAAATGCCACGAGTATCACTTTAGGGGTTACAAACAAATTTTAGCAAGCAGGCAAATTCCCAAACATGGAATCCATGAATAATGAGGATGGACTGCACATCATGAGCAAGATATATAAGCCTTGGTGTGGTAAGCCACTGAGCATTAGGGGTTTACTTGTTACAGCAGCATGACCTTGCCTATCCTGAGAATGCAAACGCTCGAGTCCATGCCTTCCTTCTTGCCAGTCCCTAAACTGGATCGGCCTTTGTGGTCGGTCTCTCTCACCTTTTCTTGCACCCCCCGCCCCCCATCATCTGTGGCCGTACCTAGGCAGGCTGCAGCTCCCACCATTGCATAAAGTCCCGGGGTAACACAGTCTGCTCCAGGTCTGCACCAGTTCCTGAAGATGATCCAGTCATGGTGATGGTAAGCCAGCTGCTCCACGCCAATTCCCACCATCCTACCCGCCATCGCTCCCACAGCCATGCTGGGGATGAAGAGGCCCGATGGGATCTCCAGGAAGCACAGAGGGAAAAGAAGTGTGAGGGAAGGAGTCTGAATTCCCACTTCCCCACCCCCAGTAAACACAGGCCCCCCTCGACAAGCCTGCATTTTGCTTCAGTCTTCAAAGGAGGTGCCATGCTTCAAAACAGGTCAGCTGGGAAAGGGCGGGACAAGTGATTTCACCTGCTTAGTCAGTCATATCTACTGTGACTTGGAGAGAATGCAATTTTACACTTTCATTTCCTCTCCTTCAAAAGCTGGCCTGGTTTGCCTGCTACGGATTAAAAAATGATAAGCCCCACTGCAAATAACATTCAAAGTGAGCATCTGTCACTTGAGATACTCACCACTCTCCCTCTGCCCCTGTGCGTCATTCAGATTAGCTTTTAAAATTAAATGTCAAGCCACGGCATGAAAATGGAAAAGAAGGGCCTGCAACTGTTCACAGGTAAAATAAAGAAGCTGAAAGCATCAGGGCAGCTGCCCTGCATCTTCCAAACAGCTTTTCACGTGCTTGCTGCCCCTTGAATCACGGTGGCCAAACACCTGTCAGAGAGAGCTGGGGCAGTTCCCTGTTCCTAACAAAGTACATTTTCCGAAAAGCATTCTGGATATTTTCGAGCCAGGCTAGAGGCAGCAAAGAAATGACTGTGTAAACTAAAACATCTTGGTAATAGTGTATTTTATATTTTGCTGTGTGGAAATACATCTTAACATATCTAGTGATCAGACGTGTGCTACAGAACACGCCTGACTCTCCGTGTTCATGGAGATCGCACGTGACCGAGATCCTGAGGGGGAGCTGCACTGATGCCCACCCCAGACTGTCATCAATCTGGGGATGGAAGTGGATCTTTAACCAAATTGCAGGTAAGTTTGGACCCTCGAATGTGATTTCTAGAGTTTGGGACATCCCTGAGGAAATGGTTCCTCTCTGAGCTGCCCCTTGTCCCACACTCATTTAATCCCCTGTAACTTCAAAGTAGACTTCTCCCAGCAGGCACAGAAGATGCTGCTAGAGCCTTCCTCAGACACGACAACAAATTCCTCTGCTAGGAGATGATGAATCAGAGACAGTCAGCTGTTACATAAAATCCACCCAACCTTGTTCTTAAGGCAAAAATTCGGGTTTGTGTTTGACCACTATACACTCAAGTGTAAACTCTATACACTGTTTCTTAGACTTTTTAAAGAGAAACAAATCATAGAAATACCACACAGAAAGCAATAGTAACGAACACAACGGGGGTTCAGGAGGGTTCACAATGTTCTGCTTCTGGTCCTGGGTGCTGGTTACATAAACGTGTGTGTTTTGTGAAAGTTCACCAAGCTGTACATGCCTCTATATGAATGATATACTCTGAGCCTTAGCTTCTTCACTTGTAAAATGGGATGAAAATCTCTATTTCATAGGCTTATTGTTTATCAAAAGCATAGTTTCTTGTTGATTAAAAGAATGTCAAATGCTCGGCATAAGAGAACATTGAATAAAGGCCAGGTCTCCTTTTCCTCCCATCGTAATTTTTTTTTGGTAAGTAGGGTGCCATCCTCAGAAGGACATGGGTTGCCCCCACATCCTCCTTCCCCTCCACTTACCTTCATGCCAAAGGTAAATATGGTAATGACGATTTTGAAGATCAGCGCCAGGGCCAGCTGCCACATGGCGGTGTAAACCCCGAACCCGGCCGGCCGGTCCGGGATGTCGTCCACAGGCCGCGTCATGTTGGGGTCGTTGACGTAGTCACAGAGCTGGGAGGACTCGAGGGCCCCGCAGTCATTGAACAGCTCAGAAATGAGCTCGCTCGTGCTCCGGCGCGTGTAGGGATTGGGGTAGGCGATGATGGCGGTGATGGCGGTCACCACGATGACCTCCAGCACCGGGTACTTGCCCAGCTTGGTGGTTTTGCGCCTCCTGCACCAGGCGATGTTGCAGCGGATGAAGAGGGTTCCCCACAAGCCCCCAAAGACCCCAAGCAGGATGAAGGGGAAGAGTTCGGCCATGTACCAGGGCGTGTGATATTCCACGTAAAAGAGAACAAGGCGGCTGTTCCCAAAGGGATTGATGGAGCGCAGTGTGAAGGCCGCCACCAGGGCCGCGAAAAAGGACCTCCACAAGGTCTTCAAGGGAAAGTAGTAACTGACCTGGGACGAACAAGTAGGAAATTAGTGACTGGCCAAAGAAACAGCTGCCCAGGGCCCTGACCCCACTGACCAGCAGCCACCCACGGATGCTTGGAGTGCAAGTCGCACCCAGACCAAAGATGGGCGGCACTCACCTCCTCAGTCTAGGCTTAGGTATGACAAAAATGCACCAACAAAGATACTTAAATGACTCTGGGTCTAAAGGTGCAGTGGAGACTAGTCAAGGTGTATTAGAACTATTTTTTTAAGAGAAATGAAAATATTTAATGATAATTCTGTTTACGGCATAGAGATCTCCTAAAAGCAAATAAACCTCTGGATTTGATTTGACAGACAACAGAACAGATCAAGGGTTGGAAAATCCTGGCCCAGCAAATGTATTTATATGGCACGTGAGTTAAGAATGGTTAAAAAAGCGTATTTTGTGACGTGAAATATTCAAAAGAAGAACAATTTGTGACATGTGAAAATTATAAAAAATTCAAACTTTAGCGTCCATAAGGAAAGTTCTATTGGAATGCAGCCATGCCCATTCACGTGTGCGTTGTCTGTGGGGGCTGTCCCACTACGACAGCAGAGTAGAGTAGTTGCGACAGAGGCCAAGAGACCCACAAAGCCTAAAATGTTTACTATCTGGCCCTCTACCGAAAACGTCTGCCAACCCCTGGAATGGATCCACTGGGGTTGCCAAAAACAAAAATGCTTAATTAAATTGGTTATGAGAAAGAGAGAGAAGACTGTAAACCTTTAAAAAAGTATTACAGTGGCAATTTGTGAAACAATACAGTCACGCACCCATGTCAACGACAGACTGCATATACGGCAGTGGTCCCACTAAGATTAGTGCCATATAGCCTAGGTGTGTAGTAGGCTACACCATCCAGGTTTGTGTAAGTGCACGCTATGATGTTCGCACAACAATGAGATCGCCTAACGACGCATCTCTCAGAATGCATGACTGTACTTGAAAACAGATATTTGCCAGCGAAAATTGTGGCTCCTTAATGAGCTGCAGGACTCTTGCTCAATACTCCATTGAGTCTAATCCTCAAAGGGCTGGAGACGGAGGCGCACTGCTGTGCTAACCATCCACATACTCCTCAGCCCTCCAAACCACGCATTCCCTCAGCTGCCCTTTCTCACCTCTTCTAGACTGAAGAGCACGCCCCCGATTGGAGCACCAAAGGCAACAGAGACTCCGGCAGCAGCTGCAGCCGAAAGCACCTGCAAGGCAGAGAGTCCTATGTAAGCCCCCGGGCCCTTCGTGACAACAAGCGTGTGCAGGTGAGACTGGAGAGAGGCTTCCAGAAGAGACCTGAACTGCAGATGGAAGCTCAGCCTGCTCACCTCACGCCTCTTGCCCTCGTTCTTGCTGTACTTGGAGAAGAGGCTGCTGAAGAAGTTGCCACAGCAACAAGCCACGTGCACCAGCGGCCCTTCTTTCCCAAGGCTCAGGCCCGAGGACACTACCAGCACCAGGGTGACAGTCTTGATCAGCAGGGTCCACTTCCCCAAGTAGCCCCTGATGATAAAGCCGCTCAAAATGGTCTTTATCTGAAACAGAGGACGGAGAACAAGGGGGAGTGAGCTGCTTCAACACCACGGCGAGGAAAATCACTAATGCCTCTGAGGGGCACTGTTCAAGCTGAGATTCACTAAATCCTATGGAAGAGAGGTGACTTCAGTTTTTGATTTAGCCATAACCTTACGTTAACAGAATGTATATTAACATCTAATTTTATATTAATGGAAACCTGAAACAATTCAAGGCACAGTAAATCTGAAGACTTCCTACAATAATAAGAGATCATAATGAGGACTGAATAAGTAATTAGCAGGGGCTCATTTAATTTACGGCATTTTATCCTGTTCACGTTACCCTCTGTTGTGTTGAAGAGAGACTTGTACCTATTGATTTGAACTATTAATTTCTGACTACTGAAAGATGTCCAAGATAAAGAGATGGAAAGCTGGCTACCTATGTGACAAAGCAAATAAAACAAAACGTCAACTGAACTTCAGGTCGGAGTCAGCAAACTGCGGCCCGCGGGCCAAACCCAGCAAACTGCCCATTTTCGCGTGATCCACAAGCTAAGAATGCTTTTCACATTTTTAAATGCAATATGTAAACAAGACTACTAGCCTTTTAGTGAGAATAGTTGCTCACTTTTGCCTCCTGGTTTACAAAGCCTAAAATACTGACTCTCTGCCCTTTACTAGAAAAGTTTGCCAACCTCTGCTGCAGACCATGGGTACATGGTTTACTGTCAAATTCTTTCAACTTTTCTGTATGTTTGAAAATATTCTTAATACGATGTTAGAAAAAGAAGATGCTCAACATTCTAGTAACACACCTCTGGGGGATATAAAAATGTTGGAATCCATGACAACCCCTTCCCTTCCCTGAAATTCTGCCCTCTTGTACTGAAAAGGACTTTGACTACAGGTAGAGTTGTCTTGCTCCTTTTATTTCAGATCTGCCACATTTTGTAGATGCTAAATAATGGCTTTCTTCTTAAAGGTGCACATGAGTTTGCCTAACACTTTTGGAATTCAACTGGGTGCCAATCTCAGTGATTAACTTCATATACTGGAGTCCTCTTCCCCCAAAACAATATTGTTTTGGATACAGAAACATCACCAATGGGTAAATAACTTTTTACCTTCAACCTCTCCCACAATTGGCTGAAATGGAGTGAATGTTTACTGCTGAGCTAGCAATTTACAAGTCTTTAATCATAGATTAGTTAGAGATACCAAATGAGTCAGCCAATGAAATTCGTGGTCAATTTCTGTTTTCCCATTGTACAATACATAATGGGACAATGTAAACTCTTGTCAGTGAAGGGACATTTACATAACTTCAAGGTGCCTCCTAGCAGGTGTTGCTCTGCCAAGAAATCCACTTGTCAAATAGCTATTAGTCCTTCTCAACCTTGGCGCTCATTGGAATCACCTAGGAATCAGAAACCAGTGAGGACCGGCTCTCCCCCGAGATTTGATGTGATTGGTCTGAGGTGTATCCTGGGCACAAGGATTTTTACAGCCTCCCGAGATGATTCTAAAATGCAGCCCAGGAAGAGAACGACTGCTCCATTCCTGAGAAGAGCAGTACAAGTATTCCTAATTTCTCAGTATTTAAGGGACGGTCCTGAAACACTCTTCAGCAACATGTCACCTTTGGTGACTTGGGGTGCGCTGTAAAGTGAGCAAATCCTCAAAATTTTAAAGGATTGTGAATGGACCATTTTCATCTCAGGAATTATTGATAGAGATCTGTTTCCTAATTTAAGGAAAAAGATCAAGAGCGAGTCAGCGTGAGGGCATGCATTTCCAAAGAAGTCAATGAGCTCCTTCCTATAGAATACAAGCGAGGTCTTCTAGCTATATAATCAGATGGTATTCCTTGAACTAGCCTTTAACTAATGGCAGACAAACTAGCAGTGGTTAAACCGGTCTTTAGCTCGTGGTAGTTGGCCTATTTGAGCCCGTGCTCTGGGGAGCTCAGGTGCCTTTATTTAAGGGATGTTTTACTATGCCTGCCACAATCCTGCCCTTTTGTGTTGCTTCAAATAAAATTATCTATAATTTTTGTCAGTTAGTTAATGTACATTTTGACCCTAGGGTACAGTTTAAGAGCGAAATACCATTTAGAAAATTACAAGCATTTAAATTACCCGAGCCTTTGCCAGCCATGACATGTGGTGAATTGAACAATGTAATAGGTATTTTGTAATTCTCTAAAATGATTTTATAAAATTGTCATGATCAAATTAGGGACTAAAGAAAGCAAATTCATTCCCAGTAGATACCAAAATCCAATCACTTGCTTTAATTTGAATTAACAGAGACTGAATCAAGCAGAGCTTGAACAAGCTGTATTATAGCCAATTTGTGATTTGGTGGCAGTAACTTTAAAACCTTTCTGGTAAATAAGTGTTTTTGAGAGTGTTCACGTTTTGTAACAAACTGAAACATCAACTCAAAGTAGGTTCTCTATAGTCAACAGTGGTTCTACTAAGGAAGCAAAGAGAAGTAGAAAGAGGGACATCCTTGCCCAGTTCTCTCTAAATTCCCAAGTCCAAGAACTAGTGTTCGCTTTTCAATGGGCTCTATTGAGCTTAGACAAGAGCATTTATTACACAGAAAAAATGTTCTCTAAATTTTCATTTAAAAAAAATGTTTCCAAAGGAATTTTCATTCTAAGTAACCAAAATGTTTCAGAAGCAAATGCTAGGGAGGATGAGCAATTTTTAAAATGTGCAGAAGTACACTGCATTCAAAGTTGTTCTGACACCACACACCATAGAACAGCTTACAGCAGATCACTTCAAACCATGAGAAGTTTGTTTTCTAAAGAGCTCAGTTAGTATCTTTGCTAAAATGAAGAAGGGCCTCGTATCTCAATTTGAGTGAAGTCAGTTTGCAAGTTCGTTTGGTTTTGACTGGGAGGAGGTTTCTTTTTATCCATGAACTATTAATTTACGTTGACTTTTTACTCTGCCCCTTTCCTCCAAAACTGGGGCAGGTACTGCACTCTTAGGTTAGGAATTTTAAGCTCTACTATAATAATAGTGAAAATTTTGCTACTACTGAGTCATAATAACCAAAACTTCATTATAAAACCTCCATTGGGCTCCTGATACTTTAAAAGATGATTGTGAACTCTTTCATAAATAGAGAAATGAATCTGTCACTATATATGGTTAAAACATAGTAATAGAGCGAGCCCTGATGGCCTAGTGGTTAAAGTTCCACACTCTCTGCTTCGGCAGCCTGGGTTCGCTTCCTGGTCACAGAACCGCACCACCCATCTGTCAGTTGCCATGCTGTGGCAGCAGCTCACATAGAAGAACTAGAAGGACTCACAACAAGGACATACAACCATGCCTGAGGCTTTGGGGAGAAGAAAAAAAAATTCTTAAAAGCAGTTCGTTCCCGGGCACGCACCGACGCACCGCTTCTCCGGCCATGCTGAGGCCACATCCCACATACAGCAACTAGAAGGATGTGTAGCTATGACATACAACTATCTACTGGGGCTTTGGGGGAAAAAAATAAATAAATTTAAAAAAATTTTTTAAAAAAAAGCACATTAAGGGGGCCGGCCCCATGGCTTGGCAGTTGAGTGCGTGCACTCCGCTACTGGCGGCCCAGGTTCAGATCCCGGGTGCGCACCGACGCACCGCTTGTCCAGCCATGCTGAGGTGGCATCCCACATACAGCAACCAGAAGGATGTGCAACTATGACATACAACTATCTACTGGGGCTTTCGGGAGAAAAAGGGGAAAAAAAAAAAAAAAGCATATTAATAACACGAGCACCCACGTACCCACTCCAAGCTTAAGGTAGAGGAGTGGGTGCCTTTGAAAGCCCTGTGTTTGCTTCCTCACTGGGACCTTCCTCCTCCCTTGTCCCAATCATTTCCCTGCCTTTCTTTATAGTTTTAGCACATACGTGTATCACTAAACTGTATGCAGTTTCATTTTAGCTGTTTATGGACTTTATATAAATAGAATCATACTTTATATATTCTTCTGCAACTAACTTCTTTCACTTGATATTGCTTTTTTGAGTTTTATCCACATCAACGTGTTCCTTGCATTTTTGTCACAAAGGAAACTTAATGCTCGACTCAGTATCTTAATCATTGTGAGTTCAGCTGTCACAACTAAAGATGCCCGCTTTGGATGAATGCCAAGTCCAGCCAATCCTTCACAGACAGAGCTCATATTGGAGCTCTGTCTACAAGATCGCAAGCTGAGCCACGCATCTCTGGTTCTTGGAAGGGGAAGATGGGATTGCCCATCACACCTTTTATTGCTGCTTTAAATTTTCTACCAATGCCCCACCGGCCATCTCCTTATTTTGAAAAGGTAGCTTGAGTCAAAAAACGCCTACTGTTGGGCAGTGGGATTGTAACTGTGATGCCAACAATGATGTTTTCTTTTTATTGTCCAGGGTGCCTTAGGTCTTAGATAGCAAATAAAATACAGTCAGTTCTGCCATAATGCTTGTTTTGAAAACACAAATTTGTTCCAGTGCAATTCATGCATTACGGAAGAACTTGAGTATAACACAAATTTCACGTCTATTTATGCACAATTTCATCTGGGAGAAACGTGGGGTGAAGGCAGACAACTATACCAGCTGAACTGAGCCATGCAGGGAGACACAAAACACACAGAGGCAGGTGCCTCCAACATCTACCAGTTCACACGTGCACTAGGGAGTGTTTATTTCTTAACCATTTGATGTGTGTAAAAGTGTGCTACTATTTTTATTAGGTTCCCATCTTTTTTATATGTGTCACCGATGAAGTTTTGTTTTTTGTGTGTTTTTTTGAGGAAGATTGGCCCTGAGCTAACATCTGTTGCCAAACTTCCTCTTTTTCTTTTTTTTCTGCCCAAAGCCCCAGTACATAGTTGTATATCCTAGTTGTAGGTCCTTCTAGGTCTTCTATGTGGGACACTGCCTCAGCATGGCTTGATGCGTGGTGAGTTAAGTCTGCACCCAGGATCTGCACTGGCGAACCCCAGGCCGCCAAAGTGGAACGTGCAAACTTAACTGCTATGCCACCAGGCTGGCCCCCACCGATGAAGTTTTTGAGTGTTCTGCCACTAACCCCATTTTCCCCACAAGCTTTGTGGTTTTCATTGTGCGATTTTGTAGCGCACTGTGAGTTTTAGGAATGCATATGCTGCATTATAGCAGAATGTGCTGTACTGAGGAACTAGGATGGTACTGCAGCTCGTTTTTCAGGTTCCCGCAGCAATATGTTAATATAAACCATCAAAAATTCAGCATGACATATTAAGTCTTTTTTCTATCTTTCCTGAAACAAGACAATGTTGAGCTTTTCTTTCGACAATCTTTGAATGACTTCAGCCCTTTCTATGAACTGCCTGGACCAGCAGCAGCGCTGGCGGGCACCCGCCAAGAATGTGGGTGCAGGAGAGCAGGGACCAATGTGGGTCCATTGCCATAATTGATTACATCTTTAAACTCACTCTGTCGGGCCGGCCCCGTGGCTTAGCGGTTAAGTGCGCGTGCTCCGCTGCTGGCGGCCTGGGTTCGGATCCCGGGCGCGCACCGACGCACCGCTTGTCCAGCCAGGCTGAGGCCACGTCCCACATACAGCAACTAGAAGGATGTGCAGCTATGACATACAACTGTCTACTGGGGCTTTGGGGGAAAAATAAATAAATAAATAAAAATAAACTCACTGTCTCCACTGCCTATGGGTGTTGCTGAAGCAGGAACTTGAAGGAGAACTGAACTGCACTGATAGTGATAATATGAAAACTTTTAAAATTATTTCTGGCTAAAATTTTCACTGTCTGGGCTTTTCAGGAATTAGCTCAATTATCATTATTCTACCAAGTAGATGGTCCTAGGTTTGAAGTTTAGTCCCAGGCATTCCTCTTGATCGACGAGGTCACTTCCTGCATACTTTGGTTACACGAAAGTGCTGAAAAATATTTATAAGAACTCTAAACTCACCAGGGTGCATTCACAGAGCATGTACTGAATGTGGAATTCAGTTTTTTAAAGATTGCTATTACCGTGTCACCAGAAAATCAAAATGTGGCAAAGGAGTTTACTCATGAGGGAGTTTACTCAGCAGTCAACTTTCTGAGCAAATAACCTCCACTATTGTCTTTTTTCATGTTACATCATAGATGCACTTACGAGTTACTCAAGTGCCACATTTATGTGTATGGTTAATGGACTTGGATTCCACAGGCTTTAAGAGTTATGCCTGGTTTGCAAAGACAAGAATTTAATCCTCTGAGAAGCAATAGAGCATAAATCCTGAATACAGAGCATAAATCCTGAAGTCGGACAGCCAGGTTCAACTCCCAGCTTACCAGCTTAGTGACCTTGGGCAAGTTACTTAACCTCTCTGTGCTTCAGTTTCCTCAACTATCAAATAAAGAATAACAGTACCTACCTCATAGGCTCATTCTAAGGACTAAATGAGTTAACAGACGTCAAATGCATGGAACTGTGCTTGGCACATAAATGCTACATAAGTATTTGCTATGCGCTTCATTGGCACAAAAGAAATTCGGCCACCACTCACCTCTGGTATACCAGAGCCGCAGGCGTATGGCGCAAATACGCGCACCAGGGAGACCGCCAAAAATGCAAACAGCAACGCCCACAGGATGTACATTAGGTAATTCAGAATGTAGGCACTGGCACCCTAAACAACACACAAGACAAGAAAGAACACGTAAGCCATCACAGACCCGAGCGACGCAGCCACCCACCCCTCCACTGTGAGAGCGGAAGCTTTGATGGGATGGGCTGCTTCTCTCCCTGTCCTGTGTCAACAAAAAGGCCAGCGCTGGTTTAACCAGCTGTTGCTATTGCTACAGTCAGTACACACAAACCCAGCACCGGGTGTTTCTCCAGGAGCTGTTCACACACATCTTCTACCAGGTGAAGTCTCAGCAGTCATGGAAACTGTGAATGATACTTGGTTTTAATCACCACTTGCACTAGAGTTAATGAAAGATGTGATGCAGAAAATTCTGTCTTCGAGACCCTGGAAGGTTTCTTTCGTCTTGTCTACAGTGGATCGGCCTCTCCTAGCTTTCATTAAGGCCACGTCCATGCCACAGCTGGCAGCAGCACCGCCAATGAATAATGCGGGAACTAGATTTGAGAATTACTGCTACTCAAATGTGGTCCCCGGACCAGCAGCTGCAGCAGCATCACCTGGGCGGGTGCTAGAAATGCAGAGTCTCAGGCCCCACCCAGAGCTGCTGCATCAGACGCTCCAGAGGGGGCCCAGCAAAATGTGTTTCAACAAGCACTCCAGAGGATTCCAATGCAAACTAACATTTGAGAGGCCCTTTTAGAGGGGGAAAAACTTGATCATCTCCCTTAGAATAATTCACTGAGCCATTTATTCCAAATTATCTGATGTGTGGAGAAGGGTTTCTGAACCAAACACATAGTCTGGGGTCTTTGATGCTGAGGACCTGGTCTGATGGGTGGAGAGCACATTTCTCTAGGCCCGCACATTTCTCTAGGCCTCAGCTTCGTGCCACCATCTGGAGTACTCAACTGAAGGGGGGAAGGAAAGCGAGGTCACCTACAAGTCAGGCCAAGGACACGGCCATATGTGTGCCTATTAAATGCAAAAACACGTTCCAGGACACTGCTCTAGCCTTTACAGTCACATATATTCACACCCTATGTGGTGAGAAATCGGACTGAGGAATACATTTCACCTACTTAAAAATGTACTTTTTTGAGACTAAAAATAACTTCTCACTCTTGCTAACAGTAATTCTTTGAATCAAAGTATAAATCTTAGAAACGGTTGAAAAGCCATATTTGGGGCCATATTTCCCAAAAAAAAAAACATATCACAAGTAGGAAAAAAAATAAAATATGACGCCCAGCCAATTTTGCCTGCCTACTCCCATCAACCCAAGTAGAGAATTTACTTTTGGAAGTAATGGAGAGCGCTGAGAACGTGTGAGATTTCAAGATCCCTGTCTACTTCTGAGATTTTGAGGAATTAATTTTCAATTCCACCGAGAAAGAGGTTTAGCAAGATGGCAAAGTACATTCCAAATGTCTTCAGCTGTGGTAAGTCAATCGGGCAAAAAAAAAAGTGGGGGCCAAAGGAGATGTATAAATAGATTACATCTATCTTCAAAGAATAGTTCTAATTTGAACAGTCCTCACATTACCCCTAATGTGAATCTTGGCAACCTAGCTCCCCCTCACCTGGGGTTCTGATCTGTCAATGACCCATAGTTGTGGTAACCACTGAACTTGGTTAGAACTTAACTCTTTTCCTGTACTAAGATTTTTATACAGATCTGAAGCTCTAAGCGCCATGAAGACAAGCGCCCCAGTCTGTGGTTCACCACTACACCGCCTGCCTGGGACAGTCTCATCACAGAAGACCCAGAAACATCCTCTACAATGCACTCATAAGATGCAGTGGAAGATGATAACTTAAATCACAATGAGATACCACTTCACACCCGCTAGGATGGCTATAATCAAAAACAGACAATAACAAGTGTTGATGAGGCTGTGGACAAACTGGAATCCTCATACGCTCCTGGCGGGAATGGAAAATCGTGCAATCACTTTGGAAAACAGTCTGGCAGCTCCTCAAACAGTTAAACATAGAATTACCATATGACCCAGCAACTGTCCTACTAGGTATCTATGCAAGAAAATGAAAACATATGTCTACACAAAAACCTGTACACAAATGTTCAAAACAAAATCATTCATCATAGCGCAAAAGTGGAAGCAACCCATATCCGTCAACTGATGAATGGATAAATAAAATGTAGTCTACCCACACAATGGAAAATTACTCAGCCATGAAAAGGAATGAAGTACTGATTCATGCTGCAACATGAATGAATTTGAAAAACAGAAGGCTAAGTGAAAGAAGTCAGACACAAAAGTCCACATATTGTATAATTCCACTTAGATGAAATGTCCAGAATAGGCAAATCTGTAGAGACAGAAAGTAAATTAGTGGTTACTTAGGGCTGGTGGGTTAGGGGGAATGGGGAGTGACTACTAATGGATACAAGGTTTCTTTTGGGGTGATGAAGATGCTCTAAACTTAGACTGTGGTGATGGTTGCACAACTCTGTGAATGTTCTAAAAACCATTGCATTGTACACTTTAAATGGGCAAACTATATGGAATGTGAATTATATCTCACTAAAGCTATTATTTAAAAAAAAAAAAAATTACATCTTTTTGCCTTAATTAGAAGGTATAAAAATCAACCCTACTTCTTCAGCATGATCAACAAACCACTCTTGGTAAGAAAAATAAAGCCAACCATAAGACTTTTAAAAATATATACATATATTATGCACATGAGACAGTGGGGAAGGGTTTTCCAACTGAAGTTTGAACATTAGAGCTAGAAAAAGCTAAGTTGTACTAGTACTAAATCACAGACGATTAACAGAACAGACACTTGAAGGTGAAACCAGACATTCACAGAATGCCCAGCAGTGTTCCAAAGCGCCTACAGAGTGGCGAGCGTTCCCAGACAGGACCCTGCCCAGAAACCCACCTCTGACTGATTCACCAGCAGCTCGGACCATTTCTGCCACAGAGGACACTTGTCCCTGTCCTCAAAAGTAGTCTCGTTGGAAGTCCAGCAGCACTGCTCGTGGCTGTACCAGAAGGCAGACAGGCAGACCCCCTCCTTCAAGTCGGTCATCCAGTCGACAGCGAGATCGATGACCCCAGCCAAGGTGCCTGGAAGAAGCAGCAAGAGCCATGTAGAGGAATCGCCCTGTGATGATGCAATGGGAACATGACATGGGGCCAACGTGGGAGCACATCGGCCAGGAAGGCCACGCGCCAGAGTGCTGAGGGCTGCCACTCACATAGAAAGCTTCTTTCATTAATCGTGAAGTCCCCTTAGCATTTATGGTGTGGGCAAGGCAGTGCCCGGCCCAGTGAGATACAAAGGCCAAGGATCTATGGCCCTCGGGTGGGTGAACGCAGGCAGGAGAGAGACATGCAGGTCTTCACTCATCACAAGCCACTGGGGCCAAGCAGCTTTCAGAATCACGCCTTCCAAACTTTAGAAATGCAGTCCATCCACCCTATAAATGACCTAATGCCTTCAGCGGCTTCTAGGGCAGGATGCTGGCATCACATCCATTCATATTTCTCAAGGAACCACGACAATTCAGACAAAATGGAGGTATAACAACGACAACAGCCTCATCATTTAACTAAGGTTTTGCCACCAAATGGGAACCAAACTTGGAAAATCTCACTTATTAGAACTTTCTGGATTTGTTAAATCATGGATAAGGGATTGTGGATCTCTACAATAACTACTTTAAAGGCCGATAGAAGTGGGATAAAATAGTGTGCAGTAGGCTACAAAAGGCTACCTTGAGTCTCTTTCTAGATTAACCTATTCCAGTCTTTTATGAAGGCACGGAATACTTTCAGGCTACTGAATTTTTCAAACTTTTACTGGATCCCTATTACAATATCAATTCCCCACCTGCATCAACACCAAAGGCATCCACATACCTGCAACAGGGCTCACCCCTCCCTGCTCTTCTCCTGTTACATCAGAGGTTGCCCATTCCTCTTGGGAGAACACCTGAATCCTCAACAGGTCGCAGACTCAAACAGCTGGCCCCTCGCATCTCTCCAGCCTCATCTCTTTCCATCACTAACCCCTACACCCTGATATCATGATTAGCTATATACACATATACACATACATATGTGCATATACGTGTGTATATATATACACACACACTCCCACTAGTCTATAAGCGGGGGAAAAAGATTTTGTTGTCTGGTTTGCATGCCACAGTGGGGGTCAGGCCAGATGTCCAGACCCTGTGTCCACTCTAAGTGGGCAAGGGCCATCTGCCTTTGTCCATTGGTGTATCTGTGTCGTACCTAGTTGGAACTCTATATCCATGTTGAATGAATGAGTACAATAAATGAACGAAAAATCAGAAAACTCAGGCCCATCCACTCACGCAAGAGATAATTATTGAACACCCACTTACTATGTGCCAGTTACTATTCCGTGCCCTGGGGTTACGGCAGTGAACAAAGCAGACTCAGGTCCCTGCCTTTGTGGAATTACACCTCATGGGGGAGAAAGACACTAGACAAAATAAATAAGTAAATTGCAGGCTCCATTAAAAGGTGATAAGTGCTAGAGAGAAAAATATAGCACGTTACAATAGTGCCGCCATGTCGGAAAATAGTCTGGCAGTTCCTCAACAAGGTAAACATGGAGTTAGCATCTACCCAAATAATTCTACTCCTAGGTGTAGACCCAAGAGAAATGAAAACATTATGTCCACACAAAGACTTGCACACGAACGTTCACAACAGCACTATTCACAACAGCCAAAAAGTGGAAACAACCCATATGCCCATCAATTGCTGAATGGAGAAACAAAATGTAGTCTAGCCACGCAATGGAAAAGTATTTGGCAACACAAAGGAATGGAGTATTGACACACACTACAGCATGGATGAACCGTGAAAACAGTATGCTGAGTAAAAGAAGCCAGTCACAAAAGCCTACATATTGTATGATTCCATTTATATGGAATGTCCAGAAGAGACAAACATAGAGGGAAAGAAGGTAGATTAGTGGTTGGCTGGGGCTGAGAGGAGGCTGGGGACACTGGGGCTGGATAGCTAAAAGGTACGGAGGTTCTTTGCAGGCTGATGAAAATGTTCTAAAATTGATCGTGGTGATGGTTGCACAATTCTGTGAATATACTAAAAATCACTGAATTGTGCACTTTGGGTGAATTGTATGGTGTGTGAATTATATCTCAATAAAGCTGTCACAAACATACACATGTACACACACACACACACACACATACAGTGGGCGAGGGGGATGAGGCTCAGAGGGGGAGAGATGTACTTTTAGAAAAGGTGGTCAGGCAATGCCTGAAGCACAAGATGACATTTGAACAAAGACCTAAAGAAGGGGAGGGAGGGGTCCTGCAGATATCCAGGGGTGAGACCTAATGATCACCCCAAATTCCACCACTATTCATTCATGTGCAATCACATTATCCCACACCCACTCTTCCTGGCTGAGTCTGCTTCTGACGGCGCTGGGAATCTCAGCTTCGTTCTGTGGAACAACAGCGACACCCAGTGGAGCCTTCCGATCAATGCCCTGCAGAGCAGACCCTGCTTGGGCTTCTCTATCTAGGGAGTCAGAATATAACGTCCGGGGCACCACTGAGGAGATGACAGGCCAGACAGTGAGACTCCTGAGTCCTCTCCACCATTAGACCAGCTGGGGAACGGGAAAGTGAATGGGGCACAGTCTGCTGGCTTTCCCTTCCAGGTACATCCAGGTCAAAAGAATACTTGAGCCTCCTTCACTGTCAGTATCATCCCATTCTTGCCTTCCTCCTATATTCATTTGCTGATGTGTCCATGGCACCGCCCTTCCCCAGTGGTTCTCACCCTGGGCTGCACATTGGAATCACAGGTGGGGGGTGCCGGGAGGAAGTGAGGGGGCTTTTACCCAATGCTAGGGCGTCATCTCCAGGGATACTATTTAATTGAAGCCCAGGCAGCAATATTTTTTTTAATCCCCCAGGTGATTCTTCCTGAAAGAACTGATGGAAATCAGGTTGATAGTGAAACCAAGTGGTCAATATCAGATTTGTTAAAGAGAGCCCAATGGGCTCTTAGATTAATCAACACACCTGTGCTGCACTGTTTACTCCGGCATGATACCAGAACATCTATTCCAGATTTCTTCATTTTCTCTATTTATTTCACCTTCCTAGGAGCCAAGAATAATGATACAGTGTACAGTTGTATAAATCTATTCTAAATAAAGACATCAAAATTCACAGCCAACTCCTACCCTGCCCACTTTCAAAGATCTTCAGAGAAGCAGTCAAACAAACTGGAGGAAAAACACCGTATATCCATGAAATCTATACTCCTCCAACGTTACCGCCCTTATCTACTGGAAACGCCACTGGGAGAGGAAGGAGAGAAAGGGAGAAGTACACGGACAGCTGCTGTGACTAGGACTCTTCCTTACGGTCTCCTCTTGGCTCTTTGTGACATGCCAGAGCAGACGGAGCCCCTCCCCTGCAAACAAGCCCCTCCTACAATCGTATATGGACTAAATGAAAGAGTGCCCGGAAATCACAAAATCTGTATCTATGCCCTGTTATTACAGTCATTCTCTGATCAATCCTATAACCATAACTTTTATGTTATTATAGCTAGGGGATTTTTATTAAAGGAATCTCTTTAGCATGCTCAAATTTTTTATCCTTAGACATTAACCTTTGCAGACTCCTAAAACGAAATAAGTTTCAGGAAACAATTTCCAAAGAGAGCTGCTGTATTTGATATTAAAAGGGCAGGTTTCCCCTCCAGATAGTCACCCATTCACTCTGGAAACATCTACTGCTTGCAGGCATCGTGTTGGAATTATGAAAATGAAGGACGCAGAGTCCCTGAGGGTCAGGACAATGCAGGGGCTGGAGGTATCTCCCCTGGGCCTACCTCAGATCGCGCGGGTGTCTCACACTATTTTGAGTGTCTTAGGATGTTTACAATTCATTCCAGGGCCTGCCAGTATTAGTAAAGGCCACTCTCACATGGTGTTTTATTATTAGAGATCAAAAGTTTCCCATACGTTCTTGCCTTCTATATTATATAACCCAGTACTACAGAATATAAAATGTGTGCTTTCGATAAAATGCAGTATAGCACGAAACCTTTGTGCTGTGTGGACAGGGCCAACCAGCTCTGTAATTATAGCTCTCTGATGGGCGCACTTGGGCCATGCCATGGGGTCTTGCCTTATGGGGGATAGATTTTATGTTAAATGTAGGGTCATGTATTTTGCTCTTAGATATTTCAAGGAATCAATCCTCTGCGTGGGGTAAAAGAGAAGCATGCCATTTTCAGACTATCACCCCAAACAGTCAGCGCTCTGGGTTCCAGCCCCTCAAGCTTTGCCCCGGGAGGACTGCATGGCCTTCCACGTACCCGCCAGCAGGCCGATGAGCAGCATCACCACCCATCCCGACCAGGCATCCAGCAGGCTCTTGATGAACTCCCATATGGACTCCTTGCTTTTGCTGGTTATCTAGAAACAAGAAGACACAGTAGTTGATCTAGATCCATTTTCCAATTCCTGCCTCCTTCTCTGAAACTGTTTCCTCTGGAAAGAAGGTGATTGAGAAAACTAATGTAATTAAGCACTAAATTCCCACTCACATTACCTTCAGTTACCCACCGCAATGACAACATGGGCTTTCCAGTTCAGAGAGCTCTAAAGATGCCACAGCAGTCTCCAAATAATTATAATCCACAAAAATTCACTTAATTAAAAAAACTTGAGCCAGCCCTGATGGCCTAGTGGTTAAGTTCAGCACACTCCACTTCAGTGGCCTGGGTTCGGTTCCCAGGCACAGAACCACACCACTCGTCTGTCAGTAGCCATGCTGTGGCGGCAGCTCACATAGAAGAACTAGAAGGATTTACAACTAAAATATACAAGTATGTATGGGGGCTTTGGGGAGGGAAAAAAAGAGAGAGAAAAAGATTTACTAAGTGTGATTTGATCTTTGATTATTCCAAAGCCATTCTGAAAGGAGACAGATTTGGTGTCACTATTTTGAATAAGAATTACTATTTGAACTTACATTGTAAGGTCTGTTCACAAAAGAACCTCTTCAACAAAGACTTCATTTCCTGCTGTTGTTTTCGAGGGTAAATGTTAACAGGAAGAACTCTGAATTAGCCAGCATGGACCATGTTTTCCAGGCAGATGGAGATGTCTACACACATTGTAAGAATGCCCCTCCGCCTCCCCGTGTTAACTGAAGCCTACATTCCTCTGAGATCGTCATTCCCCTCCTAACCCTTTAGAGCAGGACTGACGAACATTTTCTGTCAAGGGACAGAAAGTAAATATCTTCGGCTCTGCAGGTCAGATGGTCTCTGTCGCAACTACTCACCTCTGCCGCTGTAGCACAAAAGGAGCCATAAAGAAGGTGTGTGTGAATGGGCGTGGCTGTGTGCCAATAAAACTTGACTTACAAGAACAGGTGCCAAGCCAAGGGCTATGGTTCACCCACCTCTGCTCCAGAGTGAATGCTGCCCCATCTCCCACATTCCTCCATGTTGGAGCCAAGGGGCTGGTCATCTTCTTGACTCTACCTCACTCCCTACACATCTCTCTTCCTCCTTTCTCTGCCAGCTACATGAAATGACGTGACACAGTCGCACTCTCAATGTCACTCCTCATCCTACTCTGAAGCTGCTCTCCCTGAGGCCACCAACAGTCCCCCACCCTGTTGGTTTGACTCCTACTTTACCCCTCCATGGAGGGGGACCTGGTTAGCAGCCCCGTCCTCGCCACTCTCTCCTCCTTTCACTTGTGGCCACTCTTTGCTGGTTCCCCTCTTTTACCTCCACCTGCTTCATCTGAATGTCCGTCACTGGCTCCCCATCTACCTCCCACTGTACCTAGCAACTCTTGGCATTGCCCAGGGTCCTGCCTGCCTCCTTACTTCTCCCTCTATATACCCAGGCCACCTTGGCCACTTCTAAAGCTTCAGCACCCACTCGCATGCCAAGGATCCCTCATTCTCCGCCGCAGCCCTGACCTCGCCCAAGAACTGTGCAGAGTTCTCTCCACCTGCCAACCACCCTGGCTACAGGCTGGACCAACAGCTCAAACTCAAAGCGGCTGAAACAGAACTCATCACAGGACATCATCCCCTTCTGACCACAGCCAGGGCGTCATCCTTGACTCCAGTCCCCTCCTGACCTCAATCCCCCCTCCAATCCTCTCAGTGGCTTGTGTGAATACCTCTTGACCTGAGCCTCTCTCCATCTGCACTTCACTGCCCTTGGTCAGACCTTCTTCCTCCTTCTCCTGCACTAATTTCCAAGCTTCCTGTTTCTCACTCTGCAATGCATCTTTCTTGTATTCTGAAGCCATCAAGGTGAAATCCAAACTCCTCTTCATGGCCTACTTGGTCATTCCCAATATGGCCCCGTTCCCATGGTGCCAGACTCATCTCTATTCCTCCCCTTCATGAATCCTCCACCAGACCTCAGAGCTCCTTGAACTGTACAAATGTGCCATGTTAGTTCATGCCTCTGTGACTTAAAAAAGGGCCATTCCTGACTTTAGAATCCTTTCCCCTTTCTCTGCCTAGCAAACTTAGTCATCTTTCAAGACCCAAGTGAAATGTGACCCTCTCTAAAACACCTTTCCCTAACCATCCCTCCTAAGTGACCCCATAGTTGTAGCTTATTAAAATATGTATTAATTGCCAACTAGACGCCAGGCACTGTAATATGTGCTTTCATACGCACATAACCTCATTTATTCTTCAGGTATAATTACCTCCATCCTTACAGATGAGAAGACAGGGTCCAGAAATGGCACCCCAAAAAGTCGCTCAGCCTGAAGGTGTCAAGGGCAGGATGTACCCGATTTGTCTGGTTCCAGAGTCCCCTCATTACCTTCCACACCACACCTCTGCAGGACACAGCCTCCCACTCAAAGCACCTAGTATTATAATTATCTGTCCATATCTCTGCCTCTCCCACCGGCCCTTCTCCTTAGAGCCTAGCCCAGTACACGATACGGGAACCTAAGCCCTAGCTCCAGAACAGTCCAGTGAAAGCACAGCCTAACCACTTTAGGTAGCCATGTCACCACCTACCTTTCTGTGTCTGTCGGTGTCCCGTGACTTTTCCCTCAGCCAGTCGATGGTGTGGAAGTCCTCATACGTCCCCACATCAGGGAACGGCTCATCGAGGAAATCCATCAGGTTTCCGGAGCCACTCATCGCTCCTGCATTGACCATGCTAGTTACACCTGCAGAGGAAATAACTGCGGTTACAACATAAGTAGGATATCTGACAGACACGGCAGAATGATCCACGTGCACTATTTTCCTCTATAAGAAAGAATTATTTCTGCATAGGTATCTCTCTGCTGTCATGAAACATGTATATAGCATGTCTTAGTCAGTTCGGGCTGCTATGCCAAAAATACCATAGACTGGGTGGCTTATCAAGAACAGAAATTTATTTCTTACTGTTCTGGAGACTAGATCCAAGCTTAAGCTGCCAGCAGATTCAACGTCTGGTGAGGGCCCGCTTCCTGGTTCATAGACGGCCATCTTATCACTGTGTCCTGACATGGTAGAAGGGGCAAGAGAGCTCTCTGGGGTCTCTTTTGTAAAGGACCTAATTCCATTCATGAGGGCTCAGCCCTCACGACCTAACCACCTCCCAAAGGCCCTCTTCCTAATACCCTCACATTGCAGATTAGGTTTCAACATATGAATTTTGGGGAGACACAAACATTTAGTCCATAGCACAGTCAATTCTTGTTATTCACAGTAGTTATGTTCTATAAAGTCACCATGAACACCAAATTAGTGAATACTGAAGCACTGTCCCTAAGAGAAATATAAGGTTAGGCTCCTGTGAGCCTCTGGTCCCATTTTCATCAACTGATCAATACATAACCTTGTGTTATGTGTGTTTCTGCTTAAAGACACCTTATTGAATATATATTGTTGATTCACTAACATTGAACTCATGGCCAATAGCACTGTAACTCATGCCTGAAGGAAGCTTATCTAACACACGTATTTTCTCCATAAGGCACATTGCAGCCTTCTTGTGCTTAGCAACAGCAGAGGCCCTCCAGCACTGCATTTCAGGGCCATTGTAAACAGCAAAATTACCAATAAAGCAGCACAACAATGTGAAAAATGTGGTACTAAACAGACTGTGAACAGGACACTTGCTTACAGTCTGAGAGCTGAAACAAGATGGTGGAGTGTTGCCTCAGCTAGGAACGTGCATTTATGGTGACTCAAACTTTTGCCACTCTGCACATGCACATGTCTGTGAATGACTGGGAAAGTGCCACGTGTATCGATTTGGGAGTTACAAATGAATTTCAGCAAGTGGGCAAATTCACAAATACAGAACCGCAAATAATGAGGATGAAGTATGTACATGTCTAAAAAACCTCAAGTTCTGCAAAAGCAAGGTGTCAAATGGGAGGGCTGGAGGGGCAAAGAGGGTTGAGGCATACCACTCAAAATCAAATCATTGCAACCAAACCTATAATTGGTTCTCCTGGGAGATAAAGTAGACCACGCAGGCAGGCAGCCTGTGTGGCTGTCACTGCGGATATTCAATAAGTACAGCAACAGCAGAGTAAAAACGCTGGCAAGACTTTCACTACCTGGTGTGAGCCAAGCCAATATGCAGAGGGCAGTGGCTCTCTACACCAGGGGGGCCACCATAGAGATGGACAAGGAGGCAGGACAACCTGCCACATGGGCCATGCTATGATCTGAATGTTTGTGTCTCCCCAAAATCCATGTTGAAATCCTAACCCCCAATGTGATGGTATTAGGAAGTGGGGCCTTGGGGAGGTGATTAGGTCGTGAGGGTAGAGTCCCCATGAGCAGGATCAGTGCCATTATAAGAGGAGATCCCACAGAGGTCCCTTGCCCCTTCCCCTGTGTTAGGACACAGCAACAAGAAGTCTGCGACTGGGAAGAGGGTCCTCACTCGATCATGCTGGCCCCCTGATTTTGGATGACCAGCCTCCAGAACTGTGAGAAATAAATATCTAGTTTACAAGCCATCCAGTCTGTGATATTTTGTGATAGCAGCCCAAACAGACTAATACAAGCTACAAGCCATGCCAGGCTGGCAGCACACTCCCCTGGGCAAGGAGCTCTGGGTGCAGGCACTCACTTTTAATTTTTCTTAAAATGCAGTCAAAAGGGCTCCTGCTCCCAGGGCAGTAGCACAGTTGAGGGTTTCTTCCTTTCCCGCCTAACATAACAATTCCACTCCCACTATCCTGGTTCCCCTTGTCTTGAAAACAATCGCAAAGAAACCAAGACATCTTCCATGTCATACCACCATCAGAGCCTGATTTACAGATCACAGAGGAGCTGATTTGAGATGTTGAAAATGTTCTGCAGCAGGACCGCTGCTCACCGCCAGTTAGCAGAAAAAATAATATACTCGTACAACGACAAGAGGTTGGAATATGCACTAAATAAAAATTACTTAGGCAGAGAGCATGGAAATTTGAATTGCAGGATGAGGACCACAAAAGTGCTGGAATAGATGGTTAAAGAGGTGAAGGGTAGTTATAAAAATATGTGAGAGCAGGCTTCTCTCACTGCTTTACGTATTTTTATATCTGGAGGACCCAACCAAGACCTGATGAAAGTGCATTTTAATCAAATTGAAAAGTCACTATGGGCAAAATGATTACCTTACAAGCAATAAAGTGGCCACAGTGGTTGATTTACTGACCATCTGCGCAACTCAGCTGCTTTAAAACTTTAAAACTTTGAGGTTTAAGCCATGCCAAGCTGAAAGCTATACACACTGATGAGTACCCAGGGAAGAATCATGTTGCATAAGTCAGTAGCAACCAATAATAAAAGGGAAGGAGTAAAATTGGAAAGCAAAGATTTCGTTCTCATTTCTACAAAAACAAGATGGTAATAGCCTTTTATTATATGTGGTAAAGAAAATCTTTGATGCGGGCCGGCCCCGTGGCTTAGCGGTTAAGTGCACGCCCTCCGCTGCTGGCGGCCCAGGTTCAGATCCAGGGCGCCCACCGACGCACCGCTTCTCCGGCCATGCTGAGGCCGCGTCCCACACACAGCAACTAGAAGGATGTGCAGCTATGACATACAACTATCTGCTGGGGCTTTGGGGGAAAAATAAATAAATAAAATTAAAAAAAAAAAACAAGAATCTTTGATGGGAAAAATAAGACAGCAGGCTGTTGACCCACACTGTGGAGCCCTCATGAGAAAAACTGAGCCAGCAGATACAATTGAGGAGACTTGGACATTCTATTAAAAAGGAGTTCATGTTACCTAAAATTCAACCAAATCCCGAGTCAAGTAACAACTCTGGGTAATAATAGTTGAAACAAAAAGTCACTCTGGAGAACAATTACATCTTTAAACTTTGATGGAGCATGTCATGGTCATGACAATTAAACACATAATTGGTAAAGGAAAATAAGTACGATCTAATCTGTAGATCTAATCAGGGGCTTACTTGGGGGCCCAGAAGGAGGTGGTGACATCATTTCTGAGGTTGAGATTAAGAGAGGAGGGAGGAGTGACATCAGCATCATGGTGGAGTGAGTTGTTCCCTTTGTCTCTCCCCTCTAGGTTACAACTAAACAGACATCCATTAACCAACAGAGGATTCCCTACACAGCACAACAGGTCACCTGAGAGATCCACGCAGCTACACATCTGAAGGTGGGTGGACTGGACCCCCAGGAAGCAGTGGAACTAAGGAGTGGCCCCTCCCGCTCCCTAGCGGCAGCGATCCAGGTCATGGATCCTCACACAGCACCCAGCAGAAGTGTGAGTGGAGGTGGGCACAGGGTGGCCCGTGCATGAACACTTGCAGAGTGGCGACAGCCCCACCCTCGTGAGCACAACCCACCAAGAGATGGCAGCCCAGCCTACACAAAGGAACCTCACCAAGCAACTGTGGTCAGGTACACGCAAATGCAGAGCGGCCCAAACAGCACAATTATGAGAAGATGGGGCGGGAACAGAAAAAACAGCCCCTGCCCCACCACCCCAGTGATGGCAGGTGGAATCTGCAACCAGAAGCAATAGGAACCATAGCAGAACTGGTGACCCAGCCCCCAGTGGTGGCAACCTTAACACCAGCTCCACCAGCAGTGGGGGCTATATACAAGTCCCCGGGTGCCCAGGTCCCCACCAGTGACACTGACACCCGTGAACCCAGCACCCCTGACAGCAATGCAGCCAGCACCCCAAGACAACCCAGGAACAGCAGCACAGCTGCTGCACAGGACAGCAACATCTGAGCCTATGGAGAGCCAATGGAGGAACACAAGACCCAAGTGACCAGAACCAAAGTAACCAAAGCTGTACCCAAATAAGAAAAGAGGATTACTGAGCCAGCCCTGATGGCCTAGTGGTTAAAGTTCGGTGCTCTCACCACTTCGGTGGCCCAGGTTCATTCCCCAGTCACAGAACCACACCACCCATCTGTCAGTTGCCATGCTGTGGCAGCAGCTCACACAGAAGAACTAGAAGGACATACAACTAGGATATACAACCATGCACTGGGACATTGGGGAGAAAAAAACAAGAAAAGGTAATTACTAGCACAAATGAGCCACCATAAGATCAAATCATCAAACACCATGAACTACAGTAACACTGCAGAACAAAAGGAAAATGACATCTCTCCAGAAATCAAACCTGAAGTCACAGAAGATTACAATCTAAACGACAGAGAAATCAAAATAGTTGTCATAAAGAAACTCAACAAGTTACAAGAAAACTCAGAAAGACAGTTCAATGAGCTCAGGAATAAAATTAATGAACAGAAGGAATACTTCACCAAAGAGACTGAAGCTCTAAAAAAAAAAAAAAAAAACCAGGGCCGGCCAGGTGGCACAAGCAGTTAAGTGTGCGCGCTCGCTGCGGCGGCCTGGGGTTCAGTGGTTTGGATCCCGGGCGCGCACTGACACACCACTTGTCAAGCCATGCTGTGGCAGCGTCCCATATAAAGTGGAGGAAGATGGACATGGACGTTAGCCCAGGGCCAGTCTTCCTGAGCAAAAAGGGGAGGATTGGCAGATGTTAGCTCAGGGCTGATCTTCCTCACACACACAAAAAAAAAAAACAGAGAAATTCTGGATATGCAGGACACAATTAATGAGATAAAAAAATAACTTAGCATAAAAAATAGGGCAGACATTATGGAGGAGAGAATTCGTGCCTCGAAGATAGAAACCTAGAAACACTTCAGGTGGAGGAC